GCAGTTGTGACTCACTTAAATGAATGTAATTTATGATTTACGTACCGCAGAATCAATTAAAAACTATATCAGCCACCCACTAACTACGGACTTAAAAATCGTTTATTATATTCCCAGATAACATTTGCAAATGTCAAATATAAATGTTTCAAATTCAAAACAACAATAGAAGGTGTAGTAAAATTTTTTAAATGTAACCCACATGTGCTACGCCCTACGCCACTGGACAAGTTTGCCTATGGAATTTTGAATAAATGTTTTTTAGAGATTAAGCAAATTATTGTATTATCGTACAAAACGTGTACAGGCGACGAAAAAGAAAAAAAATCACTCGTATATGGGTGTAAGGAGTATTTTCTAGTGTCCATTGTTGTATTGTGTTTAGCAAAATTTAGTGTAGTCACATGGAGGTAGCATAACATTGTTGTTTGGATTTTAAAAGTACAAATTCAATGTTGGGATGTTGTAATTGTATTCGAAGAACAATACGACAATTTAATCGTCATTTAATTACATCTCCACAAAAGTACACTTGAAAATTTGAACCGCTCTTATAAAATAACTGGCAATTCGTTCATAGTATTTGTAACTACAGAGTGACAACGAAAATACGTGCAACACAGATAATTTAGAAACGGATTTCATTTAAATTACTATGACGTTATATTCTAGGAACTCAACAGGATTCAATTCTGGAAAACAGGTGGGTCGATTTATTACTGTAATTTGCCGATTCGTTGTAAAGACTGACCAGTTTATGTTACGTAGAAATAATTAGGTACCAAAGAAAAAGGTTAATTCCACGATTTACTTTAAAATAGAAATATAACACACTACAACTAATTTAGATTCAGATTTCACGTAGCATTTATATTGGATTTATATTGTCTAATTCGATCAGTCCGGAATTACCTCTAATATGGGGAGAACCGGTATTTTTATAATTCCTGGTCACTGAAGTCGACGTCCGATCCTATTCCTTGATGGGTCCGCAGAGGTCTTGTAGCGAAGCCCGTCTTTGATTTGAAAAATTGGCCTCTTTGAATTTTGCCCGTCTTTGGATTATAGTCGCCTGGAACGGGTGACGGACTTGCAGTTTGACATATATTGTGGTTTTGTATGGTGGTTCTCCAGTTCGATTTTTTTTCAACTTTCAATCTTTCTTTTGAGAACTTCGGCGGGAATATTCGAAACATAGTCGAAAATGTAATGTGCGAGACAAATGTCAGGTAATTTCAGACATTTATTGCAAGATGACAATCACTGATCGAAGGCGGCGGTATTTATCTTTAACACGGCAAAGGTTATCGTCATCTACGTATTTCGAAAAAAAATCGAATCGTCCGTTGTTTTGTTTCGGGAGGGCAATTAAGATAATTGCTGACTGCTCGAATCACACGTAATAATCGACACTATAAAAAACCTGGGCCCCTTACAACTATTTTAATTAAAAAATCAAGGGCGGTCCGTAGTAGGTGTACTGTTACGTGAAGCGAGATGCAGATAAGGAACCTTTTAGTTAATTGATTGAATCGGGAATAAGATAAACAACGATGGATTTTTGGAACAATGAAAACTAATGAAGAGTTATGTCCTCGCATGTACGTACCTCCATCAAGGTGTATGTAAATGAAATTGAAAGCGCAACAAAATTAATGGCTTTTGGATCACGACGATGGCGTTACTCTTAATGACATACAGGGTGTTCCACCATCGTTACGAACGACAAGTAATCTTCTTATTTATGATATACGGGTTAGGGACGAAATCCCGGCGACGTAAAAATTATTAATTACATTTTTAAATCCCCCGTAACGGGTTTTTCGTTTTTCCAAGCGGCGTATAATTCAAAATTAAATTCTAGCGGTCTTGAGTCGTCGTTATTAATAGTAGATTAAATATCTCGGCTGTAATGAAGACGCTTTATGTTAATTAACAAAACTCCCGAATTGGTTTATTATTAAAACTTCTAATAGTGATTTGTTTGACGTTTTACCGCAAGTTGCGCAAGGAGAAATTATGACGGAACAGTTTAGTTTAATCTACGACATATTTCCGAATTATAATAATCGGCTTAGTTACAGTAAATAAATTGTAGAATTTTAACTATAATTTTTGGGCTTACAGCGCAAGTGGATTTATAAAATTAGATTAAGATTATATGGAGTAACAGTACATCGTGTTTTAAGAAGTCGGTTTTATGAAACTACATATTATAATGATATCTAATTAGAAACAATTACAAAATAATAAGTTTTAATTAAAATAATTAGGAAACAGTTGTACAATCAGTTTTTTTTTTTGTAGCGGTTGAAGAGCATTAATGTAAATTTATTAATCACATCACAATGAATAAATTATTTTTAAACGGGTTCGAATTGTGACGGTAATAAATGCACGTTTCTTTAAAAATTGTTGACAATTGAAATTTATCGGTCAACTGTACTGGTATGCGGGTGAGAATATACACTTGTACATATATAGAGAAGAATGTCGTCTGAAGGAGGTCTCTGTAACATGACCATACTACTTCAGATTTCTTTCATTAAAGAACGTATCTTCTTTCTCGATTAGACCATAATTGTATGCCTATTAACACGAATAAATTCACAGAATCGAAAATTCAACGGAAAAGCAATTACGATCAGAATAAAATAATTAGAACAAGTACAGTGCAATTAAGTGATAGAATAATCATAAAAATGCAGGTATCTGGATTCGACCGTGTCAGAGTGTTTTTTGCGTACCGCTATTTCCTTCTCTTGAGGCGTTTTCCAGCGAGTCACAGTGGGAAATATTGGAAAAAATTCTCGCCACTCGCCAGTTTTCATCGTCTCGTCGTGATTTTTTTTTAATAATCTCGTGCTAATCTGAATTTTCATATTCCGGTGAGGTTTTTTCGAAAAACCCTTTTTTTATGCTTAGGGAGCGCCCCAACCTCAATGTCGAAGAAAAATTTTTTAAATACTCGATGTTCAGTTGTAGAAAAAAATGTTTAAAAAGTATCTGCTATTAATAAAATTGATTATTATGACCTTTGATGATATATTTGGAGTTATGTTTTTGAAGAAAAAACATCAGATATATCATGAAGGGTCATAATAAGGGGCGCTCCCTAAGCATTAAAAAAAGGGTTTTTCGAAAAAACCTCACCGGAATATGAAAATTAAGATTACAACGAGATTATTGAAAAATAAATCACGACGAGACGATGAAAACTGGCGAGTGGCGAGAATTTTTTCCAATATTTCCTACTGTGCGAGTGCGCGAAAATTGAATTCGAAGATGGTGGTGGACATTTTGAGCGTATGTTGTAGTTTGTTTTGTACTTGTGCGTTTAAAAATTACTGAATTTTGCTTTTTGGTAAGTACCTAAATTATTTTTAATACGTATGATTATTTGGAAGACGTGAATCTTTGGGTACTTTAATTACATATTTTTCAAAAGCGTAAAAAGTTAAGTTCCTGTTTTAAGAGATTCATAATTACTAAAATTCGAGCTAAAATTTAAGCACTGCACTATCTTCGTACTACAAAATCGATACGTTTTATTTTATTTATTTATAATAACTGTTTACATTTTTTCCGTAGGACAAGTCTGCCGCGTGTACACGTGGGGTGCATCTGCAGGTTAAGCGCTGTATGAAACTCCCCAATATTAATACTCGCTGTATTTTGAAAACTGTTAATCTTACGCCCCTGTAATATACAACTTTTTTGTTCATTTATGATTAATCTATCTCATACTGAATGGCAGTCAAACTTCTTACACCCTGTATATATACCTACAAGAATAAAGAACTTTTTTCGTAACTGCAACTGGGTCTATATTTGTTACAATCTTTACTTTTCGATTGCAGAAATTGTTGCCAATCACTATCATTATTTTTATGCGGTTCTTAGAAAGTATAACGAAAATCTGTTCAAATATATATTTAGAAGCCTTACGTCGCGTTTATCTTACAATAAATAAAAAAGAATTATCTACCAAACCCATTGATAAATTTGTTTGCTTTCTGAAAGATAAGCAAGATACGTACACACATTTAAATACTGCATTGAATCAATAAAGATATAAGCGTAATGTGTTTAATCCGGAAATTATCTCGACACGTAATATATAGCAGAATTCGAGGGAAAATGCCATGGTCGATTTAGTGTACAGGGTGAATAATCAGTTCCCGTACACCGAGTTGCTTTAATATTAATATAAATAGAGTAAAAATATGTCTCACACTCGCATAAAATATTTACACGTATTTTCGATAGTTTCATGCAGAAAAGAGGTAGAGAATATTTAATGTAATGATTTAAATATGAAAATCCCTAATTCAAAGCTTCCACTCATCATTCCCCCACTTAAACAATATTTCGAATAATTTCTTGAAATTCCAATGAAAAAGTATATTGCTATTTATTGGCTCGTATTTTATGTTTCACATTTATGTGTTTCATTTGCGGAAAATACCTATTCGACAGTTCTAAAGATTGGATCACGATAAATTGATAAAAAGTCAGTTAATAGAATCCCATTCAGGTTTCCGAGATCGGTGAAATTTTGCCGAATGTAATAATGGTATTTCCAGGAACGGTTCGACGACGAGGAGGAGCAGAATTTCGTGAATAGTGCAAGTGGTTTACATAACACTTAAGTAATGTGACGTCCTTGACAGCGCATTCTTTCGAACGGGTATGGTTTTGGTGTGTTTGAGGAGTCGCACGTGTTTTAAAGTACCAAAATCTTTCTTCGCATGGGTATAGACCGACAAAAATAAGCAGCCTACCGTCCGATCCGTTAAAAGATACACATAAATACTTTTCAGGAAATTTCAGTACGAGATCTGGTAAAAAAAATAACCGAACTTTAAAAAAGTTCGGTTATTTTTTGAGCAGACCTCGTATGCCGTTTTGATTTAGCGAATAAAAGCTGGGATGTTTTATTGGGGTTTAAATATCTTACATTGTTATTGTGATTTATATCGAGATCATTTGACACTTACTTATCTTAGGTGTCTTGAGATTTACAGTTGGCAGTCTAATTTTATGAATGACTCAGTATGTGACATGTTCTAGTAGCCCACTCTTCAAGTTGACCTCATGATACATATGGCGTATGGCTGTGTTTATTCCTGATTCAGAAAAAAAAAACTGCACTAGTCAGCAAGTAAAAATAAATACGTTGTGGTAAAATTAATCTTAATTTTTAATTATTCAAGAAGGACGCGAACGTTTTATTTTCTAAATATAACGTGCCATACAAGACCATAAAATATGATTGCTACTTGTTTACTGTAATTGCTTTATTTTTACGACTTGAACAAATGACATACCTAAATTAAATTCATATTATCTAAATGTAAATTTAAAGAAAAAAATTAAAGAATACGTTTTATGTATAATTTATGTTACTGCCAGAATGTTTTGCTTAGGCACACAACGCGTAAACAGCGCATATTGTTTATGAAATTTATAACTAAAACAATTGAGACTGCCAAATTTCCGCCCACCCCTATAGTTAAAATTTCCATTAATACTATATGGACAACAGAATTTAAAAATACTCTGAAAATTGGCGTACTATATTATTGTAGTATATAATTCCACTGTTGTGCAAATATATGGTTCTAATTAGCAGTAGAGATAATGTTAATAAATAATTATTTTTGGACGAACAGATAAAAGTTACAACGCTTTTGCCAACTGTTTAAAAATAGCTTAAAACGGTTATTGTAGAATATTTTATCGTGTTTTACGAATAGGCATATTATTTGATAATTTGTTTACATATTATTTAAATTAAACTTCTAAAAATGAATTCGTAAGGTTTTATATTAACGAATATTTTTAATCTTCTCTTATTGTGAAAATATTTTTCCCGTAGATCAGTATTTAGAAAGTGTATTACAAATTATCTGTTGTTTGTTTTAAATGTTTTATAGTTTATCGGAAATGCCGTGAAAAATGTATTGATTTATATTCCAAATCATAAATAAATGACCTTATAATTATGATTCCTCTATGAGAATGTGCCAACAACACTGATAATAATTATTGATGTATGTAAAATATTTGATTTGTCCAAACATCGTTTATGTTCAATTAAAATGTATTTCCAGATATTTTATTGCTATTATTTAATACAGTTTTTATGTTTCTTGAAAACGATATGTGTAATCCGGTTATTTATATTATTCAACATAATGTAGCAGCAGCATGTTCTGCGACGTTTAAATTTTCAGAATTGGCAGCCATGCCCATAACCTCTCTGATACGGATAACAAAGCATAAAAGACATATCAATCGGTATCAAGCTGAGTAAACATTTGTACATTTTTATATTGTTCGATTTTTGCCGTAAAAGATAACTGTAAATTGAAAATGTCAATAAATTTTCAATACACTCGTTAAAACAAAAAAAATCAGGCGCTGAAGCTTACAACGTGCCAAGTAGCAGGCACTTTTATAAGCCGTATCATGATTTGTTTTTAGCAAAATACTAACGCTTGTAATTATACTATTTACTTAGGTTATAAACGGCTTGCTGATAAAAAACGATTCGCACATCATGAACATATGCGTAGTTAAATTTTACGACGACAATTGTAAATTGTTTAAACAATTGAAAATGTGTGGAAATAATGCCCCATCGAATATAATTTGCTAGTAAAACCGATGGTGTAAATAACGGTACAGCTGATTTTCAGAATGTTCCCCATAAGGAAATGAACACGCTAGGACTGTTCGTGGAAAATGAGTTTTCTCACTTGCTTTAATTTATGTTTATACAAAGAGTTAAATTTAAAGATTTACAGGGTGATTCAGTCATAACGTCATTAGTTTTAACCGCATATCCGGAAGGCATAATAAAGACAGAAAACCGAAAAAAATTAAGCGAAACAGCTGATTTCCCCAGTCGTGTTGAATTTTGTAATTGGTTTCAAAATCAAAGCACAGTGGTTCCCAACTTTATTAAAGCTATGGACGAATGAGTATGTTTTAGCTGTACTGGTATTTTAAATAGGTAGTAGGTATATCTTTGCGATCTCAATTGAAGGACCAAGAGATTGGCAGTATGTTCGATCGCTCATGCAACAACTCGGTATTGAAATGCTTGTGCTCATATTTATTTAGGCATACCCATATACAGGTCTGGTCGCCCAGTTGAAGAATGAGCGCCCGGGCAAACGCGGCACAAACAGAGCCGCACTGAGCCACCTGGCCATAAATTCAGTTGTCAACAAATGGCCTAGTAGTGCAGTGCAGTAATGCGGAATTTGGCGTGATTTAGGTAATTTTAATTTATTATAGGCACCTTCTATTAATCATTCATATTACAATTGCGAAAGGGAGAAATAAGAGGAATATTTTGTTGTAAATAACTAAAATAAGCTGTTGGTCCAATGAACATATAATAGAGATTTTCTACACATTATATACAAATTATTATAATTTTTTACCTTTAGCAGAAAACATTTTTAGGGACGCCTATGAAACTCATTAAATTTTATTGCTAGGCGTTTTTATACATGTTCAACTGACTTCCGAAAGACTATACCATACTACAAATTGAATAATTAGTTGAACATAATACTAAAGGATCATATTCAATTATAAAACATAGTGAAAACGTTAATAATTATTAATAAATAATACTTGTTAATATTTAAAATATAAAAAAATGTGTTCATTCGTGTGTTTTACCTGTTTTATCCTTATCATTCACTACGGATTAAATATGTAATAAAAGCTAGGTTAGTGACCGAATAATACGGTACGTTAAAATTCACTCCCGATAAGCCTTTGTGGGTCAGCGGTCAGGAGCGGTCCCAAAAGGGGGTTTAATTAATGATTTGAAAATATTTCTTTTCGGCGTAAATATTCACTTTAAATTAACTTTAATCGCGTATTCGTATTCACAAATTTTTCCCTATATTCCCTTAAAATTAAAGACATTATCAGTGAATCGCCCTGTATAGTTGATTAGACGTACGTAATCGGTATTAAAATGTAATACGATCCTCTTTCTCCTTTAGTACTACCGATGGGGTTAAGTAAAGGGTAAAGATGTTGATGGTCTTGACAGTTAACAGTTTTTGGTACTCCCAGCATTCAGATTAAGTTGGTAATGGCGGCGCTAGGCCTAGGTTACACCAGACTAAGCTCTAGTAAAACATAAAACCGCGTCTATGTACACACTTGCCTTTATCTATCGGATCTAGACCCAGTCTGGTACCGAATAATTTCTGGCGCCGTCATCCCATTAAAAAAAATCTAACGTTTATAAGACAAATTGTTCGAAATGTAATTTTCTTACCTGGGGGGTAATAAACGCAAGGAAGTACTTACTGTTTGTTTATAGATACATTTCTGTAATTCCCGATAAACAGGAAGGGACTGACAATTTGGCGCCCACCATCCAAAGCAAATTGTATTTCCGAGGAAAGGTTACCCATTTTGTGAGTTTAATGTAAAACCCAGCAGTTTTGAGTAAAACCAATGCATGTATACAGAATTTATATCTGATGAAGAAAACATTACTTTATTCCGATCGATTTTTTCAGTCAGATCTCTGCAGGTAACTTTAACTTGTTTACACATGTGTAAACAAGCAATACTGCACATCGAATGGAAATAAACATCCTGTGCAACAGATGTGCAAATTTAAGTCTTCATTAAGCAGTATATTTAATAACCACATTAACAAATTGTCACACACTAAATACTATAGAATGAAGTCGATTTTAACAAGCAATTTAACCATGTTTACTGTACAAGTATCCTGTCGGTTGCGTATAATGAACTGAGAATTGTATATAGAATGGATTTTGAGTGTCCAAACAATTTATAGTAAAGTTTCGATTTTCAAGGCGGCAATATGAATGGATTCGAGAAGGAAAAAGTAATATTATTATTTTTACTGTAGTTTCGAATCTTTGGGATCGTATTTAATTGGTTATAGACAAGATTTTTTGTGACTGAGATTATATTTTACGTATAAGAATTTGTTGGAAAAATTAACTGAGCAGTGTAGCTAGTGCATAATTTGGGTCACACGGTGCAGCGAGTATGTAATGAAGTCAAACATTTCCTAATATAACATGTGAGGTAAATGAAAAAGGCTTACGAAACGAGAGGACCTAATCGGGCTTGTCAAATTTTAAGATGCTTCTCTTGTATAAAGAATTGCCCAATAAAAAAACAATCACGACGCACCGAAGAATTTCTTTTGAATTCGGTAGGTCTTTTAATAAGACGATTTAATAAAATGTTTTGCCTGATTTCAATAGGCACTTAGAAATATAAATGACATCAAGATATGTTAATAAAACCACGCATTATATACTATCGTTTCATCATTTATTTTTTTATTAACCAAGCTCAAATGTAATAGAATACGTCTTTTGTTTGAAATATGTAGAATGAAAATTGTTCATCATCTGTCGCCGTTCTTTACGCTCCATGAAAAAGGTATACAGTTAGATCTGAAGGAAGCTATACAGCCGCAACAAAAAAGAAAATAAAACTAATTAATGTGAAAATTATATGTACATCAGCCTTTCAGGGTCCATTTTACATCACCGTAGCAACTAAAAAGGCTTCATAAAGGTACAGTTTAAGGAAATTAAAATTGTTTAATGGTAATATTGATTCATGAATTGACATTTTTTGTAACAAACACCATTTGTTTTCATTTTTCGTTTGTTTAAAATGCAGGAAAAATTGGCGGAACCGCGACTATGCTTTTCCATTTCACAGGCATTTCTTGCAAATTAGAGAAGGGAAAAACGGGAGAAATTCGTCGCAATTTCACACAACTGTGAAATCGATTAATGCAGTGTTAAATGGAAAAGGATAACCATTGTTGTATAAGTTGGCGTTTCAATTGGGTCAAAGTTTTATGTTTATTTTTACGATAAATATAAAATGAAAATATTTTTACTGGATCTTAACCACCAGTAGACTAGATATACCCGAGAAGTTTTCAAAAATGTGTGGTAGAAAATGATGTCAGTTTACTGTTTCTTTGCAATTATAAATAAACAATGACCATAAATCGCTGTATATGTTTAATCTGTAAAACCGGATGCTTATGTTTATTACATTTATCGAGCTTCATTTGTTATTGCAAATGTTGATTCCGACACATTTGCCTTTAATAGTAAATATCAAAGTGCGTTCCATATTTTGACTTCTTAAGTTTCTAGAATATAATCTGTACATTTGCATGCAGTTTAATAGGAACTTAATTTTGCTTTTAGAACTGTCGATGTTTCTGTATAGGAGAACCGAAAAGTAATTAAACGTATTTATCAGCAACGGCATCGAACTCTCGAATAAAATATAGATACAGATAGGACAGATCCAAAATACCATTAAATTTGATACATAACCTCGCTGATAAAGGGTACACATTTTCGATGCCGTATAGAAGAAAAGCAGGAATTTATGTTCGTATTCCGGCGATAAGATTTCATTAAACTGTCGATGTCTTAATTATATTTAAAAAAAACAGTTCGTAATATAAGTCGTAACGCTTCATCCAACGCCTGCTCTCATTACGTTTCTGTGCTTGATCAAGTAGGTTTGATATTAATTCATTGTTTATTACATAATTTGACGCGAAACAGAAGCTGTTGCTGGAAAACCGGTTGTCCTTAAACGTAACTACAAAGATTTTACTCAAAAAAGAATTTCACTTTGGACATACATTTGGTATAGTATTTCCGAATTCAGTTGACCATGTAAAAAAACGCCTGGCAATAAAATTTAATGACTTTCATAGGCGTCCCTAAAAAAGTGTTCTGATAAAGGTAAAAAATTATAATAATTTGTATTTAATGTGTAGAAAATTTCTATTATATGTTCATTTGGCCAACAACATATTTTAATTATTTATGTCCTCGGACAATTTTATTATATTGATGGTAAATTTCGTTTTGTTCCGTTTCAAAAGGTCTCCGAAATGCCATGTTGTAATAATAGTATTTCTCCCTTTCGCAATTGTAATATCAATGGTTAATAGAAGGTGCCTATAATAATTAAAATTACCTGAATCACACCAAATTCCGCATTGCTGCACTGCACTGCTGGGCAATTTATCAGCCACTTGTCAATAGCTCGCATTCTTCAACTGAGCATATACATTTCTACCACCTCCACGTTTAGTTCGACCAGACCTGTATATAGGTAGGGCTAAATAAATATGGGAACAAGTTTTTCAAATATCCTTGTACATACTGTCAACTTCTTGGTTCTTCAACTGATATCGGAAAGACTATACCATACCATATTTACTTCTACTTAGATAAATCAATGGTCTACATCAAACTATTCAGAGATTTTTCAGAAAACGTTATATATTGAACCTACTTTCATACGAATCTTTTGGCTTAAAATAGTTTGTTCATTGAAAGAACGCGATAATTTCAGAAGCACCCTGTATATGGGTATAAATCAAAACAATTCTCTTAGCCTCTCGGTCTATATTGTCCATATAAATAATAACCGTTATTGAGGCTCTATAGCCCTGCAGGCATGATATTATGGCGACTGCAGCAGTACAAATTATTATTTAATGTATAGTAGCGTTATCAAACTTGTAATAAAACGCACGGTGCTAGAGTTAAATGAACTTCCTAATTGTATCATATTTCAGCTAGTTTATTTTTAGAAGTTCTAATTCTTTGTGTTTACAAAATGCTTCTTGTCAAGTCTGCGTATTTGTATCCACTTTTGGTGTAAGTAGTGTCGATTTTCGGTAAAAAAAACTTAACACTTACCTAAAATGGTTGAAAACAATTAAACGTTCGTTTTAACGTTTCTTTTGATGAAAACACTCGAAACATTGGAAACAAATTCCAATCACGCCTCGATTAAATAATACAACTATGATACTGTAGGTGTCTAAATTTTAGATAAATTAAATAAATAAGAGTGATCAACAGGAAATGACTAAAGTATGATTTCACTTATCGTTTGGTCTTCCAGATGTCTTCAAGAACCCAATATTTGCGCCGAAATATTTTATTCCGCATCAACGAGACCCATTGTAAGTTGTAAAATTTGCATAAGCCAGAAGATTTTAGAAACTCGCGCGTCAAGATAACAATTCCGGACGGAATTTTTTAAATGAAATTACAATGTTTAATTCTCAATTTAAATTATTCAGTAAACACACGTATTCTCTACTGTCAATATTTACGTGTTTAATTTGACAAAATACTTTGTATTAAAATTATTAAAATATATGCAGCATCTACCCTGGCAATGTGAAGGAAATTTAAATAAAAATTTGACACTGCCAGGAATAATTCATTAAATATTTCGAACGTGCTGAAAAAATACATAGTTAGTGTACATGTGTAAATTTTGCACTAATTTTACTTTTGAAACAGTACAATTCCAAATTCTAAAAATTACATAATTAGCGGAGCAACAAATTACATCATTAGTGAACTAAAAAAAATCATATTTAGTATTGCACGAGTATTATAATTTTGGAATCCCAAAATTAATTCAGTTGTTTTAGTTTGCAAGTTGTTTGTTACAAAAAACTTTGAGGATCGGATAAGCGCAAGTAGAATTCAATTTCACTTTTAGTTTAATAAATTTTCCTTAGGTTTACAACTAAGAACATGGTGAGAAATCCGGTGGAGGTGACAAAAAAATTTCGTAAATCATTTCAAAAAAATCTTGTAATGATTTTAGAGCCACTTGACGATCACACCAAGTGGTCAGGTGTCCAACGGGTTAATGGTTCTAAAAATGAATGAATGCCTCTTTGATACACCAATTCAGTCTGCTACCCAACATTTGGTCCTTATCTAAAATACATAATGATGTAACCGCGTATGACTAGTTTGGAAAACAACTTTTGAGAAAAGGTGTGTGACCTAATCTTATTCGCCGACGCAAAACTTGCGCCAATATACGAACGAAAATCCCGCTCTGATCTGGCGCAGATCAAGATCTTACTTACATTATCTCGAGATCCTCGCGGAAAATGAATGAAACCGCACTTCCCAAGTCACTTAAAACAGAAGCGGAAAGTTCAAAATGCGATCCACACTTGCGTACGAGCGTTTTCGATTCGAACCCGATTGGAGCGGTACACTGAACACTCCGGCAGCTTGAACAGTACTGAGCATCTATTATAACCAGCGCTTAGATAGGTTTATAAGTCAAGTTGAATGTGAACCATGGGATGGTGGCGATGGTTGGGTTAGAAATATTGCAGATTAGCCCGGCTGATACCATCCCACTGGACATTGTGTCATCGATCAAGTCAACACCACCGTAAAGTCCTTAAGCATCCAATATCATCCTCGTTGTTTTTTATTTGGAAAATCAGCTAAGTCTCCAGCAGGATCGTTACGTATGAATTGAGGAGTATTTTGTGTGCCTTAAAAATAAAAAATTGTCCCATTTTTTGCGCTCTGTACACGCCACTGTTCAATTCGATTCAAAAAATTATTCAAACTAAAATCTAGGCGTTTTTATGTCAACTTTTCAAATTACACATTAAACTATGTTGTTATATTACAAGCTTCTGGAAGAAATAGCGCTGCAGATTATTTTGACCGATAAGGATACTACTAAACATCATCTTAGGACCCTTCAACGTCCAGGTCACAGTTTTCCACTTAAGATATCTTCTATGTTATCTGCCGCTTGATTTTGTACCACCACCAGCTAAATGGTACTGTTTTATCAACGCAGACATCTGACATTACTACATTTTGAGTTAATGAAGATGTTAAGTAATTTTAGTGTTTCGTAACAGCAATCCAAAGCGCGCAATTTTGTACCGTTAAGCGATTAATATTCATTTTATCTCTGCATTATAATTATGAAGTGTGTCTTAAGTTAAGACACCTCCATTTTAAATATTTTGGAGACGGATGAGATAAGTTCGGAATTACGCTGAGGTATACGTTTTAGAAAGATCGGTAAAATTTGAAATGGAAAGCTCTATTATAGGTTTTATTTTATTTTTTTCTAAATATATAGAAATTTACTAATAATAATTAATGTGGCTTACTATGCTGAGTATTTAAACATCGTTTTTCAACAGTGTTTCATTGAAGAAACCATTTATCACTGTTTATAATATCATTAACATTTTATTGCAAAATATTCTATACATATAAATGACCATTAATCAACAAATTAAGCTAATCTCAACTGGCACCAAAATTAAATTATGGACAATTTTTATTGCGAATTTGGTGTTATCTCAGAATTTGTACAAGATTTACGATGGGCCAGCGTCTGGCGTCTGATCTGTTGGCATATTCGAATTACAAATTAGGAGTCAAATGTTAATTAGATAGTGTGATTTTTCTCGTGTTGTTGATAATTAAGAACGTAATGTGATTCTGCATAGTTTCATACTTATTTTTATACTAGTTACGCTATAATCGAATTGTGCTCAAATATACTTTTCAGAAAATATTTCAATTTTAACGACTTCAATTATTACCTACTTGCAGTTGAAGACAATAAAATTTGTGAATATGATTTACAAAGTTTAGAATTTCAGGTAACCGTTTTTAACCGTGTGTTATACGAGTTCTATAATTTTGTGTTTAATTCATTTAGTGACATCACTTGCATGAATGAAAAATCGTGACTTATTCATTTACAATTACATGCTTTAATCTTCAACTCCTCAATATGATTCACAGAAACTGACAAGTTAGAATGCATCTTGTAAAACAATCTAAACTAGCCTGAATCAACAATACTATAACGATCAAAAGCTTCTCAATGAAAATGCCCAATCCTCCAATTTATGCTCAGCTGTTTGTTTTACTGTAAATAAAATTCAAAATTGAGCTTAGAATATCTTGGTGATTTATTTATGTTAAAAAAATTAAATTTCTTTAAATTCTTAAATTTATAAAGACACTACTAGTTTAGAAACAGTTAAAACAGTCAAACGCAATCGCACTTGATTCGAAACAATGAGTTTTGAATGTAAGCATTCTATCGAAATGCGCAGGCGTCTGACTGTTGGAAACTGTTTTGGTTTGCTCCAGCAACAACGCAAATGATACTGTCGAGTTGAAATAAAGAATAAACATATAACATGTACCTAAATAGTTGAATTGTTATTTGGTCTTTTCTTGACTTGTTTAATATTTTGAGCCAAATTAAATTTAGCATTTATCAATTGCGTCTGTTCACTTACCTAAAAAAACGCAAACCAGGGCATTGACGTCAATTGCTACCCGCATTGGAATCACTTCACGACTTTGATAATAAATATTCTTTTATTTTGTATTTTTATTGTCGTCTAAATAGTGGTTTATAAATGTTTGAAAAATTAAAAAATGTTTCAACATTATTTAAATTTGTTAGCATCTGGTCGTTTTTCTAATTCCAAGACGTAAATATTTATGCAAATCGAATGAAAATGGTACAAAAATAAAAAATATTCTAGTTACGTACCGAAGCCTTAAAAATGTGACTTTCTAAGTGACAAATTTTAAATTCATTTGTCGTTGCTAATAACGATTATTCAAGAATTCCTATCGTCGTAGTACACGATTGCCCTCGTTCCACTAAAAGAACGAGCGGGCAAAGTGCGTAGCAGATATTACGACTGCTTGACAGATGTGTGGAATGAAATGAGTTTTTGTATAAACTTTAACTAGAAAAGCTGTCTCAGAGAACAATAAGCTTGTTATCAACAGAACCCATGTCGTTTTCTTTGTTATGTAAACGCAAACTATACCTATAACCGCAATAATTATTATAATTGCTTTTCTTTGCGTCGTATCCATTTATTGTTTTGAATGCCCTTTTAGCTGCTTGACAAATCGTTACGTAGAAAGAAAGCATTACTTCATGCTTGCACATGTTTCATTCATTGGTCCCATCCACGGAATTATCAAATTAAACAATTAAAGTGGATCGCTAATACATAATATACTGAACTGAAATTTCTGGTAACAAACAGCACGTTTTAGTGTTTGATATGTTGTTTTAGGGGCGTATTAAAAACGTTTTCCTCCCTTTGCAACGATTAATAATCTTAAAGTCTTTAAACTTATACTCATATTAGCAATAGGTATGTTTAGGTATATAATCAGAGTATGAATTTATCAAAAATATATACATTTTCTAAAAATTTAATTCTTAAATATTATTTTAAAGTCGTAGATGCCAGTATTTCTTTCTTTATCTTTTTAATCCGATTGAAAACAACATAAACTTCATGTTTTTGAAGCTTCTTGTTGATCGCAATTGTAATAGTTTCCTACTTTTTAATATTCTCTTTATATATATACTGAATTCTTTATAGGTAATTATGTAGCAAGGGAGATTAGGGTTAAATAATAATAATTTCACTTTTTTATTTTTTGAACTCTTTAACTTATTAGCATTAACTGAAAATAAAAAAAATGTATGTTAATGAAACTGTTATTCAACAGGTTAGTCACAGCACACGCTAGAATTCAATTATGGGGTCCTCGTTTCAGTGTGGTTTCAGAAATATCGGTGGTTCAGTTTTGTGGTTGAAGTGAAGGCCATATTTTACTCGACCCTACGTGTATTTTGCAAAATTCCGCGGTAATTGCATTGTTTTTTTGTTATTTACCACAAAATAAATTGCACTCACTGACATTTTATGTTTTTATGTCTTATCTTTAGAATAATTTCTCTGATATCTAGAGTTCGTATTGATTCCGAATTTATTTTTAAATAAATTGTATAATATACTACATACGGATTATTAAGGAAGAATACTAAAATCTTTAATTTTCGTGATATTTGAATAAAGGTGCATCTATGTTGTTGGAAAATATCTTTACAGTAATTTGTTATTAAAATAGCATCATAACATAATAAATAAAAATAATACTCGTATTTTAAGGAAATTTACAGAATCATCGAAAGTGGTTATATTTAATTCTTATTGCCAGTTTTATCTTATCAGTGCACTAGGATCTACTATATTCAAAACCAACGTTCTTAATTAAGAAATAGTAACATGTTTATTGCATTTATGTAATAAGAGGATTCAAGCAAGCTAAAAAATAAATTTTTAAACGCTTACTTTTAGAAGGAATTATTAATTTTTTAACATATGAAACTAGTTACTACTTACAATTAGAAATAAAGGTAATAAATCACATTGTTTTTTTTTTCTTACAAATAATAGTACACATACATATGTATATATTATTATAACTAATAAATACCTACATAAGAATATTAGAATTTGAATATCAGTACTGTTTAATTGAAAACAAACAACTAAAAATTATAAACTGAATTAAACGAAGTTTTAATACTATACTAACTATATCTATACAGTTTTAGCAAATTACATTACATTGAAGTTCTACAAAAATTAGAATTACTATTTACTGTGACATCTGGTATTAAATAGAAGTAATACTGAATTATAACTCTTAGAAATTTAGCACCCTGTTTTAATAAAACTTGTTTAATAATAATATAATATCTGTTGTGTTCTTATAAATAATTTATTAACGTGGGCGATAGTATACAAGCAACGTTATTAAAATATACGTTAAAAAATTTAAATTAAAATATTATCTGTGCTTTTTTGTCTCAATTTTGGTTTGCCAGTGTATCGAACAGTTACGATACACTAATACTTGCTTTGTGTTTATATATAAATATGCTTCTAATGAACTATGATTATATAACAATTTGCCCCTTTTTATATTTTCTATTTAATAAAACTGTACAATTTAAAAGAGCATCATGTTTCTTTGGTTAGGTTGGCGTCTTGCACCGGTACGCGGCTTTCTGTAGAAATCTACATTATCTACGCAGCGAACTGATTGTTTCTTTTACGCGAACTGTGCGTGTTGTGTTAAAAGTAAATTAATGTACACATAAAATGTAATCCTCAAAGAAAACCAAAAATGGGTCGTTCAAAATTTCCTGGCAAACCCTCCAAGCACATACACCGAAAGAGGGTCAATGTTCTTCCACCCACAGGAGAAATATCTAATGTTGAATGTAGTGGTTCAGTGACAGTTGATTCTGTTGTAGAAAACAAACAGGTAAACACATAATTTTTGTTTATGGTTTGTTATTTTAGTCTTACATTTGCCGAATTTTTCATCTCAAATTTATTATTTGTTTTACTATCTGTTGGCAGGATGAAGATGTGACTGAAAAAGATAGTGAAAGTCCAGCTATTGACAATGTTGTAAACACAAAAGTTTCAATTAAAAGAAGACTGACTAGGAAAATGAAATCTTCTATACGAAATAAAAATGCATCCAAAAGAAATTTGTTGTCTAAAATGTGTAATAAACCTACAGTAAAGCCTAAAATAAACAAAGGGACAAGAACAAGTTTAACACGTAAAGCTGTACATAGTTATACATCTACTTGTAGAAGTAAAACACCAAAAGAAACGACAAATTTAGTGGGGAAGTTTGTACTACCGACAAGAAGTGTACATTCTTCTCGTGTTATAAAACCAAACAAACGTTTTATTAGTGACTTAAACGAAGGCTTAACTTTAAAAAAGAAAGTTAGTATTACGAAGAGGCACTGTGTTAAACAGGATGAAGATAAATCGAAAGCAAAAACTAAGTGTATTGAAAGTGGCAGCTTTGATAACGAAAGTGATAAAACAACATTTACGAATGGTCATAAGGTTGTATTGCGTCAAGCTAGGCTTAAACTACCGAATCAAATAGGAACTCAAGGTCCTTTCTCAACAAAACCTAACAGTTCACCTCCAGGTACAGTAACATGTGGGGTTTGTGGAGCAGTTAGATTTTATCGGTTTGTTAAGCAGGCTCGTAAATTCAACATATATAGTTGTGAGTCATGTAGAAAATTCATAACGAAGATGATAAAAAGGCAAGCATGTGGCGGAAAGAATACTCAAAGTACGTTAGTGTGTAACAAAGGCCAAGGAACTTGTCACGTGCCTCCAATTGTTAGAAGTCAGCAGTGGAAGTTGACTAAATGCGCATACCGTGCTAGATGCCCTGCGTGTTGGTTAAAAATGTGCCTTCGAGCATTTCATATGCCCCCATCTTTAAAACAAGGTCTGACATTGATGTTGCCTAAAAACATGCAAGGTTTAGATGTAGTTTTTAACAGTACTTTGCCACCTTTACTGTGGCAAGCAAAAGTAGAACAAAAACTGGTGTTGGACAAGCCACAAGAGACAACGAGTTTAAAACAACGACCTGTCAGGTTTAAAAACCCCAAAACTCAAACCGTACCAAATCCTCCAGTTCCTAATTCTGATATTAAAAGGCAAAAAATTGATCTAAAAGGACCTCGAGTTAAACATGTTTGTCGCAGTGCTTCAATAGTGTTAGGTCAGCCACTTGCAACATTTACAGATGCGGAGAAAAAATGTGATACTCAGGATCAACCTACTACTGATATTAAAAATTCTGAAGAAAAAATTTTATGTGACAAAAATGAAATTAAGCCTACAATTTCTATAAGCAAAAGTGAATGTGCGTCTAGTTCACCTAGTGAATCTGAATCCAGTTGTAGTGATAAATCATCTAAAATACAATTTTCATTTAACGATTCTTTAGATACTAATATCAAAAGGGAGAAGAGTTTTAGAAATGCTACAGTGACTTCACAAAACTATTCAGAGGTATGTAATGATAGTGATAATAAGGTGCTAGCAGCTGAGTTCACATTAGTGAATGTGACATTGCATCGATGGACGAACAATGATTTAGCCCTTAGAAATTTACAACATGTAAGTTTAACCATAATTTTCTTTAATTTGCTACTTTGACTAATTAATAATAAATCACAAAGCACCCAATGCTAAAAATACTATAAAGTGAATCATGTCATCATAGAATAAAATGTTTAGAAATGGGTTTGTTATGTCTCTCTCTGCTGTCACAGCTAGCACCCTATATATCATTTTAAATACTAAATGACAATACATATTAAAGTAATCCATCTTTTTTGAAAATTAAGCTCTTAGAAATTGTATAGTGAAAAAAAATGCATTTTGAGGTAGACATTCTTTCGTCTAGCGCAGCGGTATTCAAACTGTGTTCCGCACAACCTCTCTGGGGGTTCCGCGACTCAGTCAAAAATTTCAAATTTTATTATCGATAATTACAAAATTCAAAAAAAATTATACATACACTTAAAACTTTTTATTTTTACAAGTACACGCGTATAAATTACTATAAGAGCTTTATCTATTTATGCAGCATTCTTCGCATTGATTACGTCGCCTTTCCCTTGATTTTTGGTTAGAGATTTATAAGGAATGTCCTAAAATTGCTGACCAGGCAATAAATGTATTAATTGCCTTTTACAACTACATACCTGTGCAAAAAATCATTTTCCACGTACGTAACGACAAAAACAAAGTATCGCAATGTGTTTCATGCAGAATTTGAAATGCGATTGCAACTTACAAAAAAAATATTGGCGGGGTCCCGCAAGTCATAAAAGTTTGAAGACCGCTGATCTAACGTAACATTTGTATTATTCTATAATACCGACATCTTTAATAAATAATTATATCCAAGTTTAATGTCTGATTCCTTAGTAATAAAAAATATATCTGTAAATGTTATACTTTCATAGACAATTCTTTATAGTAATATTTTATATACATATATGCAGTACCTATTTTATTATTAACAAACATAGTTACGATTTCTAAGCCCTAAGCTTTTTTTCATAAAAGTGTATTAAACTTTCTTAATATTAATTGACCTACTGGGTACAACTACTTGAGTAACATACAAAACGGAATAAATTTTAGGTAAGAGCACCCGAGAGAAAAAAGAATCTCATAGAACCCCAAAACGGAATCTTGATAGATTTTTGGGATGGTTATGATCCAGAAAATATCTGTCAAAATGGATTCTGTATTATTGGATCTGAGCAATTTTCAGTGCCTGGAATATGTTTCTTATGTGGCAGCGCAGGCAAGGAAGTTATGCTTTATTGTTCGATTTGTTGCGAACCATATCATCCATTTTGTTTGGAAGATGCACAAGCTGCACCTTTAAATAATAACACAAAGCAGGGAGCTTGGATCTGTCCTAGATGTACAAAATGCTATGAGTGCAATCAAATCGACAGACAGAAACTGAGCTGTCATAAATGTTTAAAGGCATATCATCCAGAATGTTTCAACCCTAAATGGAATGGGGAAGGCAAACCTACGGTAAATATTTTTAATAATTTTAGTAAAATTATTCTTATTTTTTGTAAAAACTTAGCGTAAAAATATATATATATATATGTTTGTTACAGATTTGTGCAAAGTGTTTAATGTGTAAAAGCTGTGGTACCAATGGCATCACTAAATTTGTAGGGACTATGCCTTTATGCGTGCTTTGTTTCAAATTGCGGAAAAAAGGAAACTTCTGTCCTATTTGTCAACACTGTTATGACGAAAACGAGTGTTGCTCAAAGGTAAATTTTGCAATTTTTTTATCATTAATATAATTTACTCCAATTCTAGATGATGGAATGTGCTAAGTGTACTAAATGGGTTCACGCTAAGTGTGAGAACTTAACAGATGAACAGTACCATATTTTAAGTGTTCTTCCAGAATCTGTGGAGTATTTTTGTTCTTCTTGTTCTAAAAAGCCTTATTGGAGAAGGGCTATTAATAATGAGCTACATTCCTGCTTCAGTCAAGTCTTAAGACAGTTGAGCAAAAACAAAACAGCTAGAAGTCTGTTGAAGTGGAGTCCTCTGAACAACCTCACCCCCTCAAATAAAGCAATAACGCACATAAGGAAACTTCAGTTTTCGGATGACGATATAGATTTAGATAACAATAATTGCAGCAAAGATATTACTGATGTAAATAAGATTTACTCTTTCGAAGAAAATGAGAAATATGAAGAGTCTATATCCAAATCATCGAATACTCTCTCGGTGGTAGATATAAGAAATAAATTAAGTACTAATGACTATTCTTCTATAAAAGAATTCAGTAAAGATGTAGAAGAAGCTTTAAAATTAACTAAATCGGAACAGTTACTTAAGATATATCATAACATTTTCGAAAATGTTTTTCCTTGGTATGACAAATCCTCGTCAGAACAGGAACCGCAAAAAATTGAAAATATCGTTAGTGAAGAATCTCAACTCAACCCTAAAGTAGAAGGATCTTTTACTGAAATAGTTCCGTTGGTTCCTGATACCAGGATATGCGGATTTTGTAAAGGAGTTGGTGATGGTGTAAATAATTATGAATCAAGGTTGTTGTACTGTGGACAAAATGAATGGGTTCATGCTAATTGTGCTCTTTGGTCTTCTGAAGTTTACGAGGAAATTGATGGATCCTTACAGAATGTACAAAGTGCATTAAACAGAGGTCGATTGATTCGTTGCGCACACTGCAAGCAAAAAGGCGCAAGTGTAGGTTGTTGCTACAAAGGCTGCCATGAGACGTATCATTTTAATTGTGCTAAGACAGCTAAACTAGTTTTTATGCATGATAAAACAGTATATTGTTCCTCACACGAAATAACTTCAAAAAGCCACGTGATAACTATAGATAAAGATTTTGAGATTCGCAGATCTGTTTATGTAGAATTAGAGCAGAAACGGAGAAAATATTGTGAAATAGAAAAAGTAAATTTTATGGTGGGATCTTTGTATGTTAAAAATCTGGGAAGAATTGAACCTCTCGTCTCTGATGGTACTGAAGCCATTATTCCTATGGGCTTTATTTGCTCAAGACTGTTTTGGTCCACTGTGGAACCATGGAAATTAGTTCCATACACTATTTCTACTTCCGTTCAAAATTATCACAGTAGTACGTTAACTATAGATAAAAATTTCACGATAGATCACACTTTGGAAAAGACTGCTGTTGACAAAATTATGAGGGAATTAAGTGCATGGCAGAAAGATATCGATAAAAAAAATTCTGACATAGAATCCGAAGATGACGAAGAGCAACAAAACGGAGCCGATATTTTATCCCCGGAATTAACTGATGCCATTTTAGAAGAACTACCACATGACCTCCTTGATGGCATTTCTGTTCAGGATATTTTTCCAAAATACTCTTACGATGATTTGATCAGTATGGACTACAAAACTGAGTTGAGTAATTTGGAAAGTATTACAGAAAACTACAAGAAGACTGAGATTGAGGAAGATATGGATCTGGATTTAAAAAGTAACAGGGAGTTGAGGAGAAGCAAGTCTGATGTCATATCTTCAAACAAACTTGAAAATCTATCAAAATCTCGTCCATCTCAGAGGTCATGCAGCTTGACTTTAAGTTGTAAACTAGATAGTTCCTTGTCCCCAGCTATTAAACGACGTAAAATGGCTGCTAGAGAAAACAATATGATTTACCAACTACTACAAGTTGATGGAAATTGCGATGATAGCAGTTCAAGCGAATGTGGATCTCCTACAGGTATGCCAGAGACTGATCCATGGGGAAATTACGTTTCAGAAGAGCCAGTGACATGCGAAAAATGCCAGTGCACTTACCGAACGCAGGCTAGTTATAAAAGGCATCTGGATTCATGCGAAGTGCTCTGCACTAGTGAAAGCGATTCAGAGATGATTCCAGATCAGGAAATGGTCTCTGCTTATGTCAGTCCCACAGGTAATGTTGTTGAGAACTCAGTTATGGTAGATGTTAATGAACCAGTTGTTATATCTTCATTTGAATCATACCAAAGTGAAATACACACTTCTGTGCTTAATACTCAAAGTTTTGTTACTTCTAAATCGACATCTGAGTTACTGACAGTGCCACAGACTTCTGATGTGGTCATTCAGAACTTACCGCAAGCTGTTGAACAAAAATCAATCTTACAGACATTACCAGTTAACACAGTGACACCTATTACTTTAGAAAATCCTCATGCTGATCAGACTTATACTATAAGTCAACCCATAACGATAAGCGATCCATCTATTTCAATATCTACGAACCAACCCCAGTTTTGTGTTAACCAAACAGTGCCTTTGTGTGTTAGCCAACCTTCACTTACGCTGCAACAAAATAGTATTCAAGTTCAGCCCACCGCCAACTACACAGGAAATCAAGTGTTATCTATAAATCCAAGTGGTTCAATCTCCATAAATCAACTCAGTCAACCAACTGCTTCCATAGCCATTAATCAAATTAATCAACCACCAGGGTCTATTGCGATAAATCAAATAAACCAACCCACAAATCTGCAGCAATCTTTAGATTTTCATCAACCACAGTCCGTTACTATCCAGTCAGTTCCTTACGGTAACACAATTTTAAATGTAGGAAATCAGAACCAATTTTCGTTAAATGGTAAATTGATAACGAATCCAGTAATACAGACAGTTAATATGCCAGGCACACAGTGGGTAAAACATGTAGCTAAGCCTGCTGTTTTAACACAAAAGTCGTTAAAATCAAGGGGGCGTAGTAGAACTATAGCAGCTAAGCGTTCAACGCACTTTGAAGAAGGAGACACCATAATTTTACCAGCACAAAATTCTACTGGGCAAGTAATAGTGCAGCATCTGCCGTCCACAAATTATGTTCCCGCTTTTGTTGATGCTTTTCAACAACCGGGACAAAATTTACAATATGTTGCCACTATTACACCGCAAGTTAATGCAGTGCCCACACAATCTTTAGTACAAATTCAACCAGACAACAATATTATTAGTATAGTGCCTGGCTTACAACAAACTATGTACATTCAGCAACCTAGAGTACTTGAGAATCAATTGGTTGTAGATAGTAATGGTACCCTTGGTTGGTCTCAACAACAAACTGTGCAGCCAGTATATTACGGTTTTGAAACCATAGTACAAAACACTGTTATGCAGTCACAACAGTTCCTTCCAACAACAATGCCAGGTGTATTAACTGCCAACAGCAGCTACTCAACTACCACACAAGTATTCCAGACAAGTAAATTAGAACCAGTATTGGACGTACCGCCTAACAGTTTTGTATTAGTGAATCCCGGGCAACTGGTTAACTCACAGTCAATTGTTAATTCACAACCAATTGTTAACTCGCAGCCTATTGTTAATTCACAACCAATAGTAAACACACAACCGCTTGTTAATTCACAGCCCATTGTTAATCCACAATCCATTGTTAATGCTCAACCAATCGTTAGTTCCCATCAAATCGAAGTACAGTATTCCGAAGCACAGCCGTTGAATATAGTAAGCAACATAGTACCTCAACCACAACCGCAACTTGAAATTAAAACATCACAACAGCAGCAAATGAAATACTCACAACCTGTTGTATCACATAAGTCGCCAACTGTACCAACCACATCTGCCACTCACAGCATCACTCTTCCAACTGCTCCGTTTGTATCGGAGCAAGGAATTCCAACTAACATAGTAACTCCTATTCCTAAACCTCCAACTTCTACACAAAGTCGGCCAATGAGTAGAGTTCTTCCAATGCCAACGAACAACACGATAAAAGAACCAAAGAAAATAATAACTGATGATTCAGAAAAGATATTTTTCATAGAAGAGAAACGAAAACCTGTACAGGTTAAAATCGAAGATATCAAATCCGCGCCTTTGAAACAACCAAAAATACTTAACGGTGTTAAGACAGAATCAAAGAAATTTGAGATATTACAGTGTAAAATAATTAGACCAGCACAGCCGAATCTTATGAAATCTACCCAACAGATACTGGAAGTAAAACCTGCAGATATGAAACCAGTAGAACCACTGCAGAAAGCACCTAAGATAGAATCATTGTCAGAAATTAAAATTAAGATTAAAGAAGAACCACCAGTAGAAAAATCTGAGGAAATTTCAGCAGTAGAGGATACAAAAGTAGACACATCTTTAAAATTAGTGTTCCAAAAACAGGGTCAAGATGGTACTTATAAAATTAGCAACAACTTCACATCAAAGCAACCGGTACAAGTAGCACCTTTAAAACCAATCAAATCAACTAATGCACAGACCTCACCACAATCCGTAACCGAAAGACAGTATAAAGACGAAGAAAAATTAGAAGAAAAAATTGAACATCTCGCCACCGAGGTTTCTTCTGTGAAAAATCAAATAAGCAAGAAGGAAAATGACAATTCATCTTCAATATTGTATACTATCGAAACACAAGATGGATTTAAATATTCGTCGTCCTCAGTTGCAGATCTCTGGACTAAGGTTTTAGAAGCCGTACAGTCTGCGAGAGCAGCTCACAATATGCCGCCTTTGCCGACAAACAACGGAAGTATTATGAACTCTATTCAGATCTTAGGTTTTAAATCAAGTGGTTTAAAGTATTTAATAGAACAATTACCGGGTGCATCAAAGTGTTCAAAATATAAATCTATGTTTAACTTCCCTCCGCATCCTAATGATATTGATGATGAATATTCCCAAGATCATTTGTACGGGACTGTCAGGTGTGCTCCATATCAAAGTAAGAATACAGAGCCTTACGACATGTTTGGATGGTTATCTTCTAAACACAGGCAACCTGAAGAAATTTCACTGGATACTTTGGAACTTTTACCAAGGTAAAGTTAACTTTTGTTAATGCGTTTTTGAAATGGATATTTTTAAAATATAATTAAATGTTTACTTCCGCAGGAGGGTGGTGAATTTGCCAATGGCCATGAAATTCCGTCAGTTAAAACTGACGTCAAAATACTCAGTAGGTGTCTACCGATCGTGCATCCACGGTAGAGGACTGTTTTGTCTTCGGGATATCGAAGCAGGGGAAATGGTCATCGAATATGCTGGAGAGGTACAATAGATTTATTGGTAATTGACTTTATTATTATCAATATATTTTCCAGGTTATCAGGTCCATTCTGACTGATAAAAGAGAAAAATATTACAATTCTAAGGGAATAGGATGTTACATGTTTCGTGTAGATGATAATTTCGTTGTCGATGCAACAATGAAAGGAAATGCAGCTAGATTTATAAATCATTCTTGTGATGTAAGTACTATTTGGTTTTTATTTTTAATGTTTTTTCTTGTTGGGTTAGGGTTAGAATATTTTTTATAGAAAGTTTTTCTTTTGTTTTCATTGTAATTTGTTTTGGTGTTTTCAGCCGAATTGTTATTCGCGAGTGGTTGAAATTCTTGGACATAAACATATAATAATATTTGCGCTAAGACGGATACTAAGCGGAGAAGAACTTACGTACGATTATAAGTTCCCTTTCGAAGAGGATAAAATACCATGTACTTGTGGGTCTCGAAAGTGTCGAAAATTTTTGAACTGATTATCAGAGTGGAAACAGATGTGTCTGTATAATTGTAAATTTTTCTTTGTATTTATATTGTATATATCTCAGATTTTTAATTATAATGTATTTTACTTCCTCATGTAGCACCTATAATGGCCATTAAAGTTTATTACATTCTTAAAATAATAGAATTAAGTTTTTGTAAAGTCAGTATTTGAAATTTTTGTAAGTATTTGGCTGTGAGGTTATATATGCATTTGTGCCATTGGCTCGATAGGTGCTATATTTTAAGAGTTTAAATTTTTGATAAAAAAAATATCATGTGATATGTTGTGCATAATGATTTGCAAAAATTTCTTTAACATTTATATGATAGCTATTTAAAAAAGGCTTGTAATACGAGATCAGATTTTTGTAAATATAACTTTTATGAAGATTACCAAATGAGTTTCTTTATATATCACATTTGCTATTATAGATTTGATATTCTCAAATGTTTTTATTTTGGGAACTATAGTGAATTTTACCAAATTAAATTTTCAAGCCTTTGCCCACTATTAACTTTTTTTATTCCAATATGTATTCATTTTTTTTTATTTATTTTTTCTTTACATCAAAAAAAATAATTCTTAACAAACCATTTGAATATTGCACCGAGCATTCATAATTCTTGAAATTGAAACGTGTGCTTAGCTAAATGATTATCAATAATTAACCATTACAATTATTTCATGACAATTTTTTAATATAATATTCTTGGACATGTTTTTAGATTTTCGTGAAACTGTTTTGATAATTTGTTTCAAAGAATGAATAACTTGTACGAGCCTTAGTTGTATATTTTGTTTTGGTTTCTCGGAGGTTCACTTGTCAAGTTACCAAAATAAAAATTACTAATTGCAAGAAAGATAAATAGTATGCACTTGAATATATGTACAATAATAAAACCATCTAAAATAGACTTTTTTATGTACGATAGCTTTACAACTACTTGAATGACAATATTAACATATCAATATTATGACTACAATGATGAAGTAGAATTTGAACCAATTCTGCAGCGTGATACGAGGCCTTGTTAGGTAGTATTGTACATGATTGTATGGGTTGATTTTTCCAGTGTCTTAAGAATATGAATTTAACATAAAAAAAAACTAATCATACCCTATCTGGTGCTTACTACTTGTATTTACAGCAGCTGTGCTATAAACATGTATTTACTATTGTCAATAAAAAATATTGAAACCCATTATTATTTTATGATTTATTTTTATTCATAGCCTTATACTTTCCTTTGTGACAAACAAATTAATAAATGAACTGTCATTGTAAAGGTCAGTAATATGTAATTATTGATTTATTTTTTGTTAAATATTTACATAAAATTTATCTAATGTAATGTACTTAATTTAAAATTGTTTCAAATGCCTGCCCTAAAAATATCGCTCTCAAATCAGTTCCAAATAGAATATTGACTACATAGTCCAATTAAATAAGCCTTTAAATCAAAATTTTGGTCAACTTGCCTGAATTTTTGATATGAGTTAGTTTGAGGTATATTATAACAATAAGTGACAGTAATTTTTTGTTCAACCCCCGGCCAAGGGTGAAAAGAGATAAAACAAAGGAGTTTTTCAAGATAACTCAAAAGGGGCAAGGGCTAGAAAAAAAGTTTATTATAAAAGTTGTAAAGCATACAATTCTACATAAAAATGGCATCTTGACTTTTTTTTGTACTAGAGTTAGGGGGGCTAGAAGTTAAGGGAAGGTTTCAGAAATTTAAAATCATAACGAGCAGAAAAACTAATGAATTTAATATATTTTTTTTTAAATCTACTCTAAAAAATGTACACGTTTTTTTTTTATCGGCGGTAAAACATTTACAGGGTGAAATACACCCTCGAAGTTCGCCCTCCAAAACACTTTTTTCAAAATTTCTGGGGTTCTAATCAATATTTTGAAATGAAACAAAATGGAAAGTACTTATGATAAAAAACAAATATTTCGCAAATGATTCCGTGTTTGGGGGTTGCTACCCTTATTTTTATTTCAGAAAAACTATATTTTTTATTTATAAAAAAATCATATTTACCCAAAAAGAATTAAAAATATGACATATGTAAACAAATTGACAAAATTAAATTGACCTGTTGGGGGTGAACAACAAATTTGAAATTGTTATAACTTTCTTATATTAAAAATTAAAAAATATATCTATTTCTCTGAAAAGAAAGGTTACATTTTTTAGAGTAGATCGAAAAAAAAAATTACAAAATTCATTCATTTTACTGCTCGATTTTATTTAATATCTGAAATCTTCCCTTAACTTCTAGCCTCCCTAACTGTTAATTTTAATAATACACGAAAAAGTCAAGAGGCCATTTTTATGCAGAATTGTATGTTTTACAACTTTTATATATTATTCGAAACTTTTTTCTAGCCCTTACCTGTTTTGAGTCATCTTGAAAAACCCCTTTGCTTTATCTTTTTTCACCCTTGGCCGGGGGTTGAACAAAAAATTACTGTCACTTACTGTTGTAACATACCTCAAACAAACTCCTATTAAAAATTCAGGCAAGTTGACTAAAATTGTTTTCAAATTGCTAAAATTTTCCAGATTTTCTTTTCTATCATAAGATCACTCGGTAAGTAGAAAATTATTTTAGAAATGGTTATATTGTGACATGGATGGGGTAAATTGAAAATAGTAATTATTTATTTAAAAATTGTGTTTATTTGGTATAAAGGAAAACATAAAATACATAGAAATTATGTAAACAATAGAAGCTCTAAACTAATAAAGGAATAAAGTGTAATTGTGTAAATAATACCGTAATAAAAATACATAAATAAAAAAATACTAAATAATATTACCGTAGGATATTTGCTATAATTTCAAAACAAACCCTACATATTTATACCCTTATGTGTAAGTAAATGCAAAGATAGGAATACCATGGAAAATAGTCAAGTCGATGTGTCGTATTTAAAGAGACACTAATAAGTATTACATATATTCGTAAATATAAAATATATTAAGCTTTTTTAAACAGACTCTGTTGGACTCTGGAATTCAGAAAGCGCATGAATAGGGTTTTGAACCTTCTTCTGCGATCCCTTCCTTACTTTGGCACGAACTTCTTCTGGTTTTTCCGGTCTCACTAATGGTTTCTTTTCTGGAGCTTTCATCTTCCATACAACAATAGGCGACTGAAAAGAATCGGAAATTAATGGGAAACTTTAATACTAGATTAATATACTTACAGCAACAGTGGCCTGTCTGGGGTATTTAGTGGATGCAACATATGAAGCCTTTACAGTGAGAACAACGGCATTCATCAAATTTTTAGCTGCTTGGATAAGAGAAGTAGCGCTATCCAACTGAAAAAAAGTCGTTATTAATTATGGGAACCAAATTTTCCAGAAATGTACTTTACCCCTGATACAATCAATTCTCCACTAATATTTTGTACGTCAGCCTTTACTTTAGAAGTAATATTCATTTGGTGGCAATAGAGAGCGATACGTTGCAAATATGCTAACAAATCTTTCTTAGTGGAACTTTCCGGGCACTGCTCAGCAATTTGTCTAGTGAGTTTATCCAATTTTGTACCAGCTTCAGAAATCTTCTTGGCAGCATTGATGACATCCATAGTTGTCTTCAGTGGGCCTCGACCCCTATTGGGACGATTAGTGTTAATATACTTATCATTTGCAAGAATATAATGGGTACCTTGTGAAGTCTGTCATTTCCATCATGATCATGCACATGTGTTTCGCAAGAACTATTATATCGTTTCCAGTGTCGTCCCATTTTGCTACTTCGCGGTCAAATTTGAGTTTTTCGCTGCGGAAGAACTCCACCTGTTGCAGAATCTTCTGTTTGTCTTCTTCTGGCATTTTACCCATAGCTTCCTAGAATCACACATAATTCCAAAGTTAATAGTCTCACTTTCAAAACATGGTGAGTATTAAATTACTTACTCTAGCAGTTGTAATTCCACTGATATCTGGATATTCATCCACACCATGTTCACCTGTATGTGCACTTGCTAAAAAATAAAACAAACTTAGAAACGGTTCATAGAAAAAATCTTATTTAAAACCTACATTTGCTTCTTGTTTCTAAAGTGTAGTTTTCGTCAAGCTCAACATCTTCCGGATCCAGATCTTCATCAGCCTAAAACACGTCAAATAAATAAGAAATTCAATTTATATCTGAACTGTATACATACCCTATTCATCAGAACAGCCCTTCTTATTTCCCTCACACCATCGTATACCAGCCTTGAAGCATCGATAAAATCGTTCTCATCCACTTCTTTTGGAGGATTACTGCCTAAAGCTTGTACGGCAACTTGAACTCGTTGTGTAAATTTCGGCATTACTTGATCATTAAGAACCTTTACCGCTTCCAAAACACATTTTGTATAGATACAAGGATCGTAATTATCCATTTCGGCAGTCACAACATTGCATACCCTGTTAGAACGACCGCGAATACCACTGGCCGTACGATCTAATGTATCAGCGTCACCTTCTTGAAGGGCTAGGACACATTTGTTGACATCTTCTAAAATATGGTTTTCAGAAACAGCCAGAAAATCATCTATGGTCGTGATATCATCCACAGCCTCTGTGAGAATACGAACTTGGTTCTCCCAAGATTGTTTAAAAGCATCCATGTTTTCTTGAGCAACTTTGCTGCGAGGTCTCGCAACAAGAATACGTGCAGCATTTATTACTTCGGGACAAAGATTGTCAATTTGAGCAGCAGCATAACGAACCATTTTCACACCATCCTCATTATTCGACATGCTGCACACAAGGTTCGCAACTTCTACCAATTTGTTAGAGTGTTCTGTAAACACAACGGCATACTCTTCTACTTCTTTCTCGTTCCCATTTTGAGCTGCTTTAATAAGGACTAACAGCGGAATGTTTGTATCCAAGAAACTAAAAGATAAAATTATTTAAATCGTAATCTTGAAGGCTACAATTTTCTTTTACCTGTCTGACACGTGATCAACGACAGCTTTACGTAGCTGTCTTCGTAAATCTTTAGTTTTTCTGCCCATGTTGTCTATGGCTCTGCCTAAACTTTCACTTTTATCTTTATTTCCCATCTGAAAATATTGAATAGTATATGCAAACGAAATAAGTGACAGTTTAAATAGAAAAGGAAAGAGAAACATTTAACACTTGGGTTTATCTGATGATAGCCCATTTCAAAGAGCTTTGTTTAACATGAATAATAATCAAAGCAAAAATAAATGATGAATGTAAGAAAAAGCTGAAAAATGAGTTGAGGTAAAATGATTCAAGGTTTTGTACATTCGTGTATAATGAAAACTTCTTCATAATTTAATGAATAGAACTTATAATTTTTATTTGTAATGTTAAAAACTAACATGTGATTCCTATACAATTTTAATATTTTACAAAGAAGTTATCATGTCTTCAGCAAAAAATAAAGAAAAATATTTTCAAAGAGTAAGGTATCGGATATATGTTTGACAGAAAAGAAAATATGTATAAACATTCCACTCATACTTTATGAACCTATGATGTCAAAGTTATACTCACATTATCATTTCATTTATGATATTCTTTATAATTTTTAGTGAATAGAAGACATTATTTAAATAATTATATGCTTTGTTTTTTTATTTGAATTTGTATATGTAATTCTACCCAAGAACATCAAAAAATTAAATTTATTTAAAGAAATGAGTTACAGACGGAGATATTTTAAAGAAGTAAATATCAAGTAAAATTAGATTTTGTGGCAGTTGATATAAATTTTACATTTATGAAATCTAAAGTTTACAAAGCTAAATTTTTTGTTATTTGGTCTCTGTTGTGTAACCGTTCAGGTTTATGTATTCATGTACTTTTAAGTAAATAAAACAATCTGGAAACATAACCATATGTTTAAAGAGGGTATTAAAGAAAGGGGCTACATCGAAAAAGAATATACATTTAAACAGTTAATGGGATACATAATATTTACCCTTGTGATTCCACGTAATACTTCCAACTGCTGTGTATAAAGTAAAAAAGACTTTAAGCCAGAAAGTACTCGACTCAAATTGTTGAAATAGATTTCTATCAAAAGTTTAGTAGTTCATTTTATATTGTATTATTAAATTAATCATTTAACGTTCAGATTATTTTTCTTAAAATCACTCAAGTCATATACTACAGGTAGAAAAAGAAAAAGTGCAATAAACAAACTCATTATAAACACATTCCAATTATATATATATTAAGAGAATCACAACATACATGATTCTTACAGTTATCTACCAAACTTTTGAAATGTTAATAAAAGAGCAGTCAGTAAACTTACATTAGTCATGTATTCTGATAATAAATCCTGCAAAGCTTGCCGGACCGCATTACATTCAGCTACAATTCTCTCACGCCTCTCGTCTCTAGTGCAGCTGGAGTCTGCCATTAGAGCAGCACCACTAATAATGCTTTCTAATCTTTCTTCTAAAGAGGGTCTTGTGTGTACTTCATTATACGCTAAAGGCTCCATTACCATATGATCCTAAAAATATTTCAATTGTTTTATTCAATTTATATTCCTTTGTAGAAAACTTACATCAAAATCGTCTAAAGCTGCAGCTAATTCGCCTGGTCCATCGTATGGTCCAGAAGTAGGTTGTGGAGTCCGTCCTTGGGCAACATCATTGATCGTATTGACAGCTTCACATACTTGTTTCAAAACATAATCTCTGTTTGCTTTAGCAGCTGCCAGTTCTGGATGACGTACGTAAACTTTTGATGCTGTTAACAGCATGGTGGAGTGTTTCTTAAGCACTGCTCTAGCTGCAGCAAGATCATCTCTTAACTGAGGGTCTTTTAGTTCCTGTTGTCGTTTAGCTGCCTGATTCATAAGCTCGTTGGCATTCTGGCCAAAAGTTTTTATGTTGTCCAGGAGTTCCCCATGACTTGAAGCATTTTTCAGTTTTTCTAAATCGTTTTCTACCACATGTAGGGATTTGAGCAACAAATGTACATCGACCATGTCAGCAAGGATTAGTAGTCTAGTCACCGCTGACAATAAATTTCTAGCTGCGCGCACCATGTTTCCTCTTTTGAGCGAGGAACAGGGATCTTCAGAAAATTCTCTTGCTGCCATACTCATGGCATTCCCTTATAATAAAATAATATATTTCTTTGGAATGTATGCTAATACAGTGGAATTTGGTTATTACAACATTCGAGACACAGTGAAATCACAACGTGCTAAATGGATGACATTGTAACATAAATTTTGTACCTATACACGGAGGTATTCACGTAACATTCTAATTCCTTTTAATTCTTTCACTTTCATACTTGATATACTCTAAAGGTGTGCCATCAAAGTAATATGTTAGATAAAGTCAAGAAACCACAAACTGTTTCTACCAAATATTAATAATGTACAGGATACAAAAAAGTATAGCTTGAAATTGCGAGAACATTTTTGGAAAGTTTGGCCACTACCAAGTTAAAATTTTTTTCTCGTTTTGAATTGTAATACTAATTTTACGCAAGTAAAACAATAGGCTCAATGAAATGGAATGATATTTATTACAAATGATCGTAATAACCACAGAACTGAACAAGATAATTCAAAATCAAGTCTTTGTAAGCAGTAAGTAAAACGGAAATTTATATTTTATCTACTTATATGAAACCAAACTTTAGCTTAGCAGTATGCTGTAAAATTCGGAGATGTAACAACCAAATCCACTGCATATTCAAAGATTATTTTTGTAATATATTCAAACTAAATGGAATATATAATTTTGAAATAGCATTACTGTATAATATTTTTAATAATCTTCATAATTTAAATGTTCATGTTTATATTATTCATGTTACTATTTAGGTCGTATAAATAAATTAATACTGTCGTAATGAGATGAAGTTTAATCACCCGTGAATTAACTACATACTATTGCAGTACTTACCTGTTTTCCGTACTTCTTCTACAGCTGCTAACATTTCTTCAGTTATATCAGGGTTTTCATATGCTATCTGTTCACCCTTTTCAATGAAATTTTCGGTGGCTTTTTCAACGGTGCTAACAAGAGCATTGGCACGTTTAGATTTACCCTTCTTCTTTTTGCTAGGTCCCTTTGTATTTACAAGTGTAGTTACTTGTAAAACCAAGGGTTCTAGTGTTTTTTCTACTGACATTGTTCTTATCTCTAAGTTTTTGGGGTCCCATTTTAAGCCAAAATGGTCAGTCATGGTGGATTGAGCTTTCTTTTACACTGTATACAAACGAAATCGACTTACTGGTGATTCTTTCAATAAAAATCTCTACGGCTCACACTCTATTACTCACAAAGCAAAAGTAAAAATTTCTACTTGTTTATCTGGAAATGATTCATAACTGATAACTGTCGAGGTGTGACAGTAGTTCTCTGAACCACTCCTACGCTTTGACAAATGACAGAACAGACAGTACCACTGTAATTTTAATTGGACTTTTACAATGTAATTAACGTCTAGAGCAACATAATTTAGGTAAACAGGTATTAAAAATTTAGAGTAATTCAAGATGTAAGTACTTTGAAATTTGTGTTAATAAAATAATAGCCAAAAAAACTTTCAGTGTTGTGGTGACATCTTTCAGCGATTAAGTGAGTTAATTGTTAGTACTGAGAAGGTACGTGAAAATCTTCAGGGCGCTTATTTTGAAAAACTTATAAAATGTTAATTTGGATTTAGTAAGACAGTTTTTGTTAACTTTGGAACTAAATTAATTTATGTTTACCGAGGAAAATGCTTGCAGTAAATTTGATAGGGAATTCATTCAAATTAGTTCGAATTATTCATAACAGGTGCCGCTGCTATAATTAAATAACTTTTGTCATGTAGGATGAAGCAGGATATCATGTAATAAAAATAAATTAATCGTATAAGTTGATTTATATTTTATCGTGTTCGTGATTGTTGCAAGTACAAGTACTTTAAATTATTACTAAGTAAGCGTCAAACATTGCCGGAAGTTTTAAAATTTGTAATGTGTAATTTTGTACAGTTAGTTTCTTCTATTAGTTACATCCACATACAAATTATTTTATTTTATTCATCTTTGTTTATACTAGCCAACAGCGAAAGTACTCTTAAACAACTGCACGTGGTAATACAAATAAACCATTATATTGCATAGGTATAAATACTATTCCTATTATTTTTTAAAGCTTTTTAGACATGGAGAACGTTCACCCACGGAAACTTACCCAAATGATCCATATAAGAATTTTAACTGGTCTGGAGGATGGGGTCATTTGACTAACGTAAGTAAAGCGATATAGTATAAAAGAAATATTTTATTAGGATTAGTAAAACTTTTATCGTATTCCATTGGTCAGAGGTCGTCATATATATCGAATGAATGAAAGTTTGCAGAAAAAATAAATAAACACAAAATTAAATTTACTTATTTACTTAAGAGATTATAATAATATAGATATAACTTAATCTAATTGTTAGGATTAAACAATTCATTTGACATTAAATATACCTATTTTTTGAAATAATTAAAAGGAAAAATATAAAATTAAATTTATTTTCTAAATTACATACTTATTAAAAGTGTATGGATTGCAGAGAGGTAAATTACAAATGTACAATCTAGGACTAAAATTAAGAACACATTATAAGGATTTTTTACCTGAATTGTATTGGCCTGAAGAGGTAAATGTTACTAGTAGCTACGCCGACAGGTGTTTAATGAGTGCTGAATCACTAACAGCAGGTCTTTTTCCGCCAAAAGGACCACAAGTTTGGAATCATGACTTACTTTGGCAACCACTTCCCATTCACTATTTACCAAGAAGTCAAGATAATGTGAGTAATATTGTTTCAGTGTTCACTCTGTATTTGCGTTTTTAAAATCTGAAAATTTATTTAATTAAAAATTAGCTTTTCAGTAGCGGCTTTGTGTTCGACTATCCGGTTTTATTTTCTAGATGATTGCTATGAAATCTAAATGTGATAAATACGACGCAATGTTCAACGATGTTATGATCTCTCAAAAAGTTCAAAATATGTTGTCTTCAAATGAAAAACTGATGGAATACTTGAGTGATAACACTGGTATGAATGTGGATAGTCTCGGCATTGTTGAAACTTTGTTTAATACATTAGAAATTGAAAAATTAAATAATTTAACATTGCCTTTGTGGTTAAATGCTACACTAATGGAGACCATGGAAAAGTTAGGTGCTCAAAATTTGGCATTGTACTCAGAAACCGAGTTCATGAAGAGAATGAAAGGAGGTAATTCTTTTGCTTATATTCATCATTTTTTCAGTCTTTCAGATATATAATTTTTATTTTGTCTAAATTATATGCAGGTGTACTGTTGAAATACATAATAACATGCATGGAAAAATCTCTGCAGGGGAAACAAGAACCTTTGCTGCAATTATACTCTGTTCACGATTTAACAATTGTACACGTTTTAAGGACTTTAAACTTAGTCGATACAATTAAACCAGGCTTTGGAGCCTCAGTGGTATTTGAATTGTATTCGGATGGCCAGGTTAAGGTAAATTCTTTCTTTTATGTGTTGGTATGTCATCATCAATTAAATGACACATTATTTTTAGATAATATATAGAAACTCCTGGGATGGAGCTGCAGAAGAAAAAAATATATATTCTTGTATTTCTCCTTGCCAGTTGATCGTTTTTAAACAGGCGTTAGAGCCAGTCTTACCTACAGATTGGATGGAGGATTGTAAAATTCAAACTGCCTCTTGAATGACTTAAATTATGAACAGTGTAAAAACTGAACTCTAGAAAGGCTTTTGTGTGTTAAAAATGTGTTTTGTATTATGTTCACTAAAGAAACAAAATAAAAAAAACAGTTTTATGATAATATATTTATTTAGTTAGAAATTCCACTTCACAATAATTAATAATGCATTGACGTTATAATAAAAAACATTTGATATGTATAATTAACAGACCAGCCTTATTTAAAATGTGTTTAATAATATGGGAGGTACTTCAGATAAAGAATATTTTCCATCGCACACCAAACACAAACATTTCCACTACCAGTCGAAAAAATATATTTGTATACTTTATAAATATATATATTATATGTATATATATTATATATGGACTAAGACTATATTTTTCGCGTTGCGGATGTGATTGTGCTGGTATTTATAATAGATGGCGAATGTTGTGCTCTGTCGTTGTGATGGTAAATGTCAGGTCGTTATCTTGAAGAGCACATCAGTCGGCACCGAGACATATATGTACAAAGATCACAACTTCTATAACTGCCAGGTTAACGATAGCTTGGGGGAAAGCGCTCTAGGCCCTTGAAAGCGCTACTCCAATCAACCCTCGTTCACCGTTTACAGTTAGCAAACCTCAACCGCCAGATGGAAAAAGCGCGGTGGAATCGGCCCTTTGTTACCCTGCACCAATTGTAACAAAGTTTTCACGCCCTCGCTGCTTTCCCGGTCTCGGCGCGAGATTTTTAGAGATCCGGCCCAGCCGGAAGTCTACGCTTAAAACTAAAGTAGTGCCACATAATTGTTTTGGGAGTCGTATCTTAATTAATCTGTAAGTGATCACAATTATGACACAAGATACAACCCTTTAAAACACTAAGAGTAACATTAATAAAAACTATATTTCACTAATAAATATAAATTTGTGTTTCTTAAATGCGATCACACTTCTTAACTTCTAGTAATACACCTATTATGATATGTGCCGTTTTCTCCAAAGTATAACAAACTTTGGTGCCATGATATGTATTCATAAGTCTGTATATTGGCCGTTACTTTTTCGACTACCTTCGAGACAGGTAAGGAGTCGAAACTTACGAGTAGAGAGACAAAAGGGAGTGACAGGGGACGGATCATAACGGACTCTGCTGCTGAATAAGGAAATACAGACAGACAGACAGACTAATAAGGAAGGTAAGAGTAAAAAGATTTACTTAAAGGTAGGTGTGGTTGGGGATGAGCGAAGAGGTTAGCAGCAGGGTCAAATATGGTTCAGTCTAAGAATCCTGTGTTGACTAGTTTCTCTAAGAAGAATTTCACATCTCCGATTTCGGAGTCCTTGATGCCCAACGATTTCAGCATTCCTAGGTCTCCGTTTTCTACGGCCATGAAGACGGAGCGCAGGTGCTCTAAGTCGGATCTCATCAAGTGTAAGGCTGCGCCGAAATCTTCAATCGTTTGTGACTCTGGAACGAATTGCAAAATAAAATCACTTTATGTTGATTTTGGAACCAGTTACAGGTAAACCAAACTCATTCCAGCTCTCAGGCTAGATCTAGAATGCGCAGTGACAAAGTGTGGAGTGGAGAATATAGCACAGAATATTACAGAAGCAGAACTGAACATTTCCGTCAATATCAAGCCGCGAAGTTCTTTTGTTTGCACTGAGATAACTTATTAATTACTAAATAGTTACTAAAAATGGTTTAAAAAAGTGACAGAACTTTTTTAAATCGTTTTTTTAGTTTTTTTTTGTTCTAATAGCAATTAGCAAAGGTAATACATTTCTAAAATGTTAACTTGCTTTGTGTTTATTTGCTTTTCTCAGTGCGAGATATTTCCGGTTAGGAAAAACTAATAAAACTATGTCATAAAATCAACCCCTCGGTCGATCCCTTCAGCACAAGAGACTGTTTTTTTATTCCCTTTTTTGTTCAACTTAAAAATGAATAAAAAGTAATTACAGATACAGATTCAATATTTCAACCTCGCCTGTCAATTAACAGGTATTGAGTATTTTCGTTTTTGTTTATTGTATAGATTAAATTTGGTTGTTGTAATTTTTTCCACGTATTATTCTGCGACTGTGGGTTACCTGTAGCCTGCATCTTCATCTCATTCTGCATACGCTTGGCTTTTTTTATTTGCGCATTTTAGGGCTCAAATTAAATTTATATCCCGTTGTATCTATTTGCTGACGTATGAGCTAGAAAGCATGCAGCAATTGTGATTCGTGTGGGCGATTAAATGATGAACTTTCAATCATAAATGGTTATTTTGTTTGTTGATTACCTATATTTAGAATATACGTCATTTTTCTGTACCTATAAATTACCGTCAGTTTTTACCTGATAACGCTATTGCGACCTTATCGACCCCTCCAAGGGGCTTGAGAGCATCCCTTGCTTTGCTCCCGAAGAGTTTCTCGAGATAGTTGGGCCCGTGACTGGCGAGGAGGGATTTTAGGAAACTCCCGGTTTCCTCGACGGGTGGCCTCTTTGCTGCAGTGCAAAGTCGGGAGTCCTCGTCATAACCGTCGGGACAATCCGGAGCTCCGTCGCAGAGGTATTGGATCGAGATGCAGTTTCCATCCCCTGGGCATTTAAATGGTTCGTACGGGTGACAAGCATCGCCTGAAAATAATCAGTGGACTATTTATAACTCCTTACATAACTGTTGCAACGTTGTACATTTTCTATGATCAAAGTAAGCGAATATCCACAGGAATATAAACAATCGTTTTATTTTCAGAAACGACTCAAATTAGAAAGATTACAGAATTTTCGTTTGGTTAAATATGCAAGAAATGATGTTTATTGCGATACTATTGAAAATAACATGGAATGCAATAACTACTAGCAGTGACTATAAAATTCTTATTATAGTCACTACTACTAGGTACCTAAATAAAATAATTCAAAATAGTAGACCAGGGCGGATCTGTTTTGAGGTGGATGTGAGAGGGGCAACCAATTTTTTTCTGGATTACCTTCAATACAACTCACATAATAAAAGTGTAGACCCCTAGATCTGAAAATTCGAAAAATTATTAAAAATTTGTTCAAAAAATTATTTTGCGAAAACTATTTAACCGATTTTAATGAAATTTGGTGTGCTATTTTATTATACTCTAAAGTTTTTTTAGCAGAATTAGAATGCCCTCGGAGCAATTCAAATATTTTAAAAAAATTATCGGAAAAAACTTGATTATTTTGCCTTTTTTTCATCAATTATTGCTATTTTGCAACATCGGTAATAAATCTTAATATTCTTAACTTACAGTATATTGTGCAAAATTCAATTCTTTTTTTTCTCTTCAATATTCTTCCAAAATGCATAGGTTCCAAGATATAAGTAAAAAAATTGTTTAAACATTTTTACAATTTTGAGAATGTTCCGGACCTGGCCCAGATCTAGGGATCTACACTTTTATTTATGTGAGTTGTACTGAAGGTATTCCAGCAAAAATTAGCTTGCCCCCTCGTACATCCAAGAAGTGGAATATTCGACAGTGCGGTTACCATTTTTGAAGTAATTAAGATGCTAATTCAATAATAAACTCCTTCTTGTGAAGCTCTTGTAATGAATAATTTTCAGAATGGAATACACGTTATATTCTATTCACGGATATCGATTATGGAGATAAAAAAAACTCGTGTTCAAAGTTAAAGTCGTTAATGTGGTAGTGCTGTGGGGTGCTTAGATAATAAAGAAGTGAGAAGGAAACATGCCATTTTATCGGAAACTGGATATTGCTCCGATTCCAATAAAGATATCTTCCTACACCCTACCACGGTCATAGGCGTTGACCGAGGATTTTCAACAGGTTGACAGGACCGTACATTATTTAATTTGCGACATAAAACCCTTAAAAGATTAATAAAATATGGATGAATAATGAAGTAAAAAGTTCACAAGCGGTAGAATTTCGTACTTTCATACATGTAAAGTTAGACCGTTTGCCGAGGGTCCGGAAACCGTTATTCCTCTGTTCTCCTTAATTCGGGACGACAGGTTAAGGGTGGCTGATATTCATATGTCCAGGGTACTTCACAAAGCCTAATATATTCAACCCGCGTTATGTTGAATCTCCTTACTGACGCACCCAATGTGGTTTGCGAACTTGAGGAAAGCAAGGAAACTTAACACATTACCAGTCTTCTAAGCCGTTCAAGAAAGGTCAGATGTGGGTCTATTTATTTTGGCATACCCACATTAAGTTTATGTTGAACTTGACATTTTAGATTTAACTAACAGGACCCTGCAAACTAATACGTACATCTAATTCTAAACAGAATATTCAAATTAAATTAATTTATTCTCGTTAAGAAATATCCATTCTTAATAAAACTCGTTTTCTCGGTACGAGACGAGATGGTGAATTATTAACTTGTCGGTTTTAATTTTCTTTCTTAAGGTTACTTGTATTACGCAATGCTGTTTATTTTCCATTACGGCGAATTCTAATAAAAAGACGTCAATGTCCTGAGGGACTTCCACTGTAGAATCGGGGCTTCAATTCTAAAGTTAATTTTATTATTTTACGAGTATCAAAATCCTATGCATACAAATCTTTTGATGCCGAAAGCAAATATCAGTAATCATTGTTTTGGCCTTCCCAAGATTACCGTACAACTTTTACATCGAAAACTCGAGAAGGTACATCAATTATTATTAACGTTGCTGCTTTGCTTTTCTTTAGACGACTTTAAAATACTCATAAATGGATAAATTAGGTTATTTCCCTGGATTTTCTTCAATATTAACGCGAATAAGGTGGTCTCGAAGGGGCGTAAAGTATCACTTTGAAAAATTAATTAGAAAGTTGAGTAATTTTACGAACTTTGAGGAGATTTCAAAGTTTCAGGTTCTCCTTCCTTGAAAATAAAAAAATCTTATTAAGGAAAATAAATTGGGTATTAACACAAATCCTTAAATGGAAAATTTCTTGTACGTCTAACTTTCTAGTTAGACTTTTTAATATATACAAGCAATGTATATAATTTAAAGCGCTTTAAGTCTCCAAAAGTTTGTAGATAAAAGTTAATTCTACATTTAATATAAAGGAAAAAGCCGAATTACGTTCGGGGAATAAGTAGCTTAATATAAAAAACACAGGGAAGTTAATATGTCTCCTTCATTTCACTAATAACGATAATTTAACAGTTTGACAGTTTGATTACAGAACTGTTCAGTCCATTTATCATTTGAATATATATTACGTACCCTATATACTAAAACAAGTTCATTCCAATTTCAGAAATTGTTTGGCATTAAAGAAAGTTAATTTATAAATCTGACATAAATCGTCTCACAAAAGCTATTTCCTGTTTCTTATTTGAACTCGGCGAACCAAAATTCGGTGCTCCTGCGACTTAACAATGTTACAGTCGTCATTTTCCCATGTCCTTATTAAAGAAACTCATTTTGGCGTTGTTATCGGGCGCCAAACCTATTCACCAAAACACAAAAGAAAACTTCACGGAAGTATGATTATAAAAAAAAACATTTAAAAACCTTATTGCTTAAAAAATGAATTGTATGGAAACCTTGGCTTTGAAATAATGATTTTCATATGAATATTTTATTACTGGCAGGATATAGTGTATCACAATGGAATGTGAAGTGGGTACGGTTTATATTTACAGCCAACCATGGGGAATATTACTTAATGCAAATGTGGAAGAAAAAACAGCTAATAGAGTTGATAAAATCAATCTCTCGATTTATCTCGACATTTAATTTTTTTAATCCTCGATAGTTTTTTCGTTGCACGTTTTTCATAACGCATGTTCATAGGTATCATGCATTATGCATTACAGCAAATTATTTGAATCGTAACATGAATCGTTACAGAAACCGATTCACTCCCTCCCCACTCTATTTATGCTATCCATATAGGTATATTTTACTTGTTTGATAATAGGTTCTTTCCCGTTATTACAATTTAAATAAGAAATAATACCAGTTAAATAAGTATATTGATTTTCGATTTAAATCTCTATTACCCGCAGAAGAAAAGTTATAAATAATTTAAGTAATTTTAACAATAAATTGTTGTAAAAACTGTAAACAAGATTATTTCAAATCTTATTTGTTTATATAACAATATTTAATATTTTTTATAGATTAATATTCTTAATTTTTCTTAGTTTTATGAGATATTAAATATGTACCGATTTTATTTTATTTTTTTTTTTTATTTTTTTCAGAGATGGATTTTAAGAAGAAAGTGGAACAACAGTGAGTAAGTACACTTTTGTTCATTTTTTATATACTTATCGTTAGATACTTAAAATGTTTTTAAACGGTTTACTTCACATTGGGATAAATTGGATTTCTTATTGAAAACACGGTTGAAATAATTTTTGAGGAAATCGTACTGGTATTTTTGATTATATGAACAAACTACTAAAAGTATAGTCTTTCCGAAGTCAGTTGAACATGTAAAAAAAACGCCTGGCAATAAAATTTAATGAGTTTCATAGGGGTCCCTAAAAAAGTTTTCTGAAGAAGGTAAAAAATTATAATAATTTGTATATAATGTGCAGAAAATTTCTATTATACAGGGTGATTCACAACTTATCCAAAAAAATTTGGGAATAGATGCGGCATGAGATATGGAGTAAATATTGTAAAAAAAAATTTTGTAAAATCCTTATAGTTTCCGAGAAAAAAATTACTAAAGTTGTTTTGCTTTCAACCATTACATAGCTGGACAACTGTAGTCTCTAGCGTCATTCGTAATACGCATGGAGAGCCACGTGGCCTCAGCGACTCAGAACAGTGAAATCCGATGTTTACAAGAGTTTTTTGGTAGTTGGTGTCAAAAATGGCTTGCGTGTATAACAACTTGGAGTTGATGGATATCGTTTTAGTTTATGGTGAAGCAAGAAAACATTTTTATTATGGTGAAGCATTTGTGTTATGGTGAAACAAGACAGCATTTGTGTTAGTTCATAGAAACTGAGTAAGACGGACCCAAATGTGTTTACACGTCGGTGGACAAAATTTTGAACAGTTGTTGTAACATCAGGTATGTCAAATTATTTTATTATTTAAAGCCACAAACGAATTTGAACAAAATCAGTTGAGTTTGCTGATATAAAATAGGTGCTATAAAATTCTATTAATTCCTTTCCTTGCGAAATTCTTTCAAGTTTTTGTCTGTTTTTATCACTATCGCCGTGACGGTCGTATTGCGCCAGGTCAAGTTTTACAGTGGACCAGTTTCCAGTGCCGTACAGAAGTGTATTTTTAAATAATTTTCGAATTGCCCTTTTTGATTTTTTTCTTTACAAAATTGTATTTGTAAGACTCCCCTGTACATCCAGATTTTTTTTTTTAATAAGTTCTGAATCACCCTGTATGTTTATTTGGCCAACAACATATTTTAATTATTTATGTCCTCGAACAATTTCATTATACTGATGGTAAATTTCGTTTTGTTCAGTTTCAAAAGGACTCCAAAATGCCATGTTGTAATAATATTATTTCTCTATAGAAGGTGCCTATAATAAATTAAAATTACCTGAATCACACCAAATTCAGCATTGCTCAAAGTGGTCTCGAACTAAACACTCAAACAAATAACGCCAAACGATACCTCGAGAGAATCGTTATGTTTGAACAAAGACGCTAATATTCATGTGTACATTCATAAATCCCAATCAGATTACCGTTTCATCCGAAAGGGGCGATGTGTGGGTTTAATGAGAAATTACAGCGTTATATCCATTTCTGATTCCTTTTAAAAATAAATCGCGTTCGCGTTGCAAATTTGCGTATGATGTATTTTAAGTTAATTAAAGGAAGGGTGTTTTTAATTAAGTTTGGAACGTATACCGGCTGATAATAAGCTTACATTTAATTAACCCGGGAAATCAATACCGGCCATTTTCCAACGTACGTACTAAATGGACATAATTAATTAGCGAAGTTTAATTTAGTTGATGGTGCACATTTAACAATTACACGAAATATGTCATTTCAGTACGCCGTTATGAATTATTAATTTAAATTCAACTGGGTATCTTTCGCCGTAACGCCTTTGTTCTGAACATTGCAACTTGTGGAAAATGCAATATATCATCTGTGATTGCTACGCTTTGATATAAAATATAATTAATTCATTCGGGATCAAAGTAAACGTGATGTCTTTAAAGAAAACAAAGAGGATCAATTTCCAATACCAATAAAAGCCGGGAGAAACGTGCCGTAACTTTTCTCAATAATCCGAAAGCTTCATGTGTCTTCAAAGAGAAAATAAACGAGTATAGACATGTCAAAGGCTTTTGAGTTTTTTTTTAAAGGTGATCATCTCAAAATCAAGTCGTTAAGTACAGCGTCTGAAATTTGTCGTACAAATCGTTGCCTCCAGCGTTTCATTCCTTTTTGATTTGAGAAATAATTTTATTATATTTTTGTACTCTGAATTTATCGATATAAAATAGAAATATTGTGCGACAGGCAGGTGATTAACGGAAAGGTAGTCATTTTTATTAAGTAGCGTCGAAGCGTGGTAAAATTAGTAATAAAAATAGAATTTAGCTCAGTTTGCTTTACTTTCATCGGAAAAACATAAATGCTTCATAGTCCTTCTTTCGCCAGGTTCTAGTATGTTTAAGCAGCGCTATTAAACATCTCTTTGATGGCATTAATTCTCATTCGCTTTATTTTTATGTCGTATCCTTTCTGTATAAAACTAAACGTGGTCCTATTTTCGCGACTACCTTTTTTAATGAGGGTTATTAAAATGCATGGGGATGATGCTGTGTTGTACGTGTTGAAATTATTTTAATATATCCTTACATATTTGGACATTTCACTGCCACAATCTGGGGCATACTCGGTTATTTTTATTTTATTCGTTTTTCTGTATATTCACATTAACTATACGCTCAAAGATGTAAGTTTAATCTTTTCCTTTTATTGGATATTAAAAGTTATATTTGTTAACGTTTCGAGAATCTTGACGTCTCAAAATTAATCAAAATTAGCAAAAGTTAAATATGATATAAAATATATGACTCAATTATTTCACATCCAATCATTTAGATTAGTTTCGAGGATGTCAAATACATCAAGTCGTTAGCTACAATTTTTACGATATTTCGTCATAACTTTTTTGAGATTAGGCTCTTTAGAGAATATGTACCTACTTAGAACTTTTTAGAAAAACTCAATTGACTGTTCCAGTCAGGTAGGTTCTATTTTTTATATACTTGGTAACAAACTTTTTTATAAATTGAAATTGTACTAATAGGCTGTTGATTATATCCAAAAAAACAGGGTTAAGAGGAACTATGACGTTCAAGCAATTTTATTGCATGAATCGTTTTAGATGAAAAAACCGCGGAGTGCTATTAAATTAGAGGGTGGGAATTATTAGATAGGGGTGAAAATGCACCCCTTTCAGTTTTTTAATTGTAGTTCGGAAACGAAGTGAAATTTCGCTATAGTTCATAGGAAAATTTTTTTAGAGAATTCAATTTCCAATCGAAATAGCTTATTTAAAAAATTTTAAAGGAAAATTTTGTGCAAAAAAAATCGTTAATAAACAATTTGAAGAAAAGCAAAAAATTCGATTTTCTGATTTTTTTTTTACTTTTTTGCCTCTAGTTTTTTTTTTGTGAAAAGGTAGGTAGGCATTGCTTTATAGATAGAAAAAAGTAGATAAAATTTCCTTCAAAATAAGAGGTTGTAAAGTATTTTTGGATGAAAATTGACTTATATGGCCGCTTAAACTTACAAGTAGCCAATTTTTCGCATTCATTTTTGAACATCTTATATATTAAAGAATAGAAACTGGTTGACTTTGGGCCAGTCAGTTGCTCAGTCAGTCCCTAAAAAATGGTGCCTTTTCAGCGATTTTAACAAGAATACATTTTTTACGTAAAATGAAATTTTACATCGTAATGTATGACACATGGGAAGGTCGTAGTTAGCATTTTCTACAGTTGGTCAAAAATTAATGACTTGCGTATTTAGGACCCTCAAAAAAGTGCCTGTACCAATCTTTTTGCGTTATATTGTTTTTTGGAAAAGATATGGGAAAATTTAATTAAAAAAATTTCTATTTGGCGCTTTTTATCTCAAAAATAAAAGACGCTCGTGATATAATCATATGACAAAATATTCTATATTTCGTTGTCGAGTTACAAAAAAAATGTTTCTAATTTATTTATTTATTTTTTTTTTATTCATGGTAATTCGGACCAATCAATATAAATATAAATAATCGTCACAATATATCTAAAAGACAATAAAAATATTAAAAAATTTCAGAATATTGTATATTTCGTTGCTAAACTTTCTACTAGTAAATAATTTGTGTAATATTTTACGAATTAGGAAAATAGAACATCAAAAACAAAAGACGATAGGCCCGCGGTTCATAAGAAACGATATTCTTCTTTTTTGATGTTCTACCAGGCCTTGCACCTTTTTTCAAAACACCCTGTATTTCGTTATCCAGTTAGAAAAAAATGTTTATAATTTTTTTCCATGACAATTTGATTAAATTTATTTAAATATTAATAATTATTACAGTGTACCTAATTATTAAAATGAACAGACCAAAATATCAATATCAAAAATTTTTTAGAAGAGTTTGTTGCTAAACTTTCTACTAGTAAATAATTTGTGTAACATTTCAGCAACTAAAAAAATAGAACACGTTATTAAACATTATTTATTGCAATGCAGCGAGGTTGAATGCAACTAAAACGAGTTTCCTCGCAAGGGTGACACATTTTTCATGTAACCGAGCGGCGTATTACCATTTTAATGGCGTCTCACGGTTAAGACGGATTAATTCGAGGATTTGTATACTGGGAGGTGGCGAAGAAAATAGAAAAATGCATTTGAAAAAAAACGTAATAACTATCGATCGCACTGCTGCGACAACTGTTGATGCGGCTAGCCAACAAGTGCCCCTGGACCGGGAAAAGCGGGGCCTGACGGCCGTGAAAACTAGTTCAGGCGGTTCCGGCGGACTTACCCCTCTTCGAGCTGATGTGTCCGTACAGCCTGCTGAGGTCTATGGCCATCACCGCGTACGGTATGGCAGCACAAACGGCGACGATCACCATAACCAGCAGAAGCGGGTGAGGCGAGACCGCCACCCGAACCATGGCTGGGGCACAAAATCGACACTGTCGGGACGGAGGCAGCTCACAATAGAAGGCCTCCCTTCTCTTGCCATTACTTTATATCCACCCGATCGCGACCGACCCGTTAGGGTTGCCGCCAGTGGCGGATTTCGCGCCAGGCTATCCGGGATCTACGTAATTCGCGGGGGCCTACTCGTCAGGGGATCCACTGGCTCCGTATTTGTGTACAAAGGATAAAGAAGTCACTGCACAATTAGATCGCAATTTATTTACCCCCTGTTTTTACTCTAATTTTCTTAATAATTGCCTTTTTATGAATAGACTATTATAAATTATTTTGAAGCGTAATTTTACTTATTATTCTAATATTATTTGTGATTATACAACACAAAATGTATGTTACGATGTAATTTTTATAATTACATCTAACACTGCGAAGTAGATGTATAGTCAGTTATATAATCACATTATAATAATACATTTTATGAAATAATCACAATGTGATTTTTTATTTCATGTACAGTACAGTTAGAAGATTACTTCAAAGAATTTACTTAAAGTGTTTTGACATAGGACGTATTATACTCGATTTTCTGAACACTCTATACTAGAAAAATAAGATTTAAGATTGCCTTCTTGCATCAGTCTTCATTTTTTCCTTATCTACTTTCGATTAGGCAACAATAGTTTAATAAAAATAACCCTTTAACAGGTGGAAAAATATCAATAATCAGACAAAAAAAAACCTTAAACTATATTAAAAATAAGAGAAAGAAACAAACTGCACTACAAATAAATAACTTGAGATAATAGCTAATAGCCTAATACTCTATATGTATAGCTACTTTCCACTTCAAAAATTGAAATTTTGATTTTAAAATACATTATTTGAGGTTATAAACAGATTTGTTTTATAAAAATGTTGTGTAAAATAATAAATAATGGGACTTCTCTTGAGTATTTTCGCGTTTTTTTAATTTATGAGCACCCTGTCTATCTAATCTAAGTTGTTTGTATGACAGTCTCATTTTTTCGAGGAGCAGAACTTTTTGTAAAGAGACATTTTTCGATGAAGTCAAAAACAAGAGTTTCTCCTTTTGTCAACTCCATCCGTGGACACACTGTATATACATTATTAATAAACTTTATTGTACTTAAATTCTCAAGTTTTTACTAAATTATTTTATTAAAAAAGTAAAAAAAAATCAAAAAATCTTATTTTTTGCTTTCTCTAAAATTGTTTATTAACGATTTTTTGCATAAAATTTTCCTTTTACATTTTTTAAATAAGCCATTTCGATGAGAAATTCAATTCTCTACAAAATTTTTCCTATGAACTACACCAAAATTTTGCTTCATTTTCGTGCTATATTTAAAAAACTGCAAAAGTGCTTTTTCACCCCTATCATGAATTTCACCCCTCTAATTTAATATCACCCCGCGGTTTTTTGATTTTTAATGACCCTTCGAACAAGTCATGTGATGAAAATCCTTGAAAGTCTTATTTCCTTCCTTTTTTGCAAAAAATGAGAATTAAAACGTATTAAACGCTACGAAAATCGAAAAATTGGCTGTTTGACCGGCCATATATCAGTCAATTTTCATTCAAAAATACTTTACAACCTCTTATTTTGAAGGAAATTTTATCTACTTTTTTTTATGAAGCAATGCCTATACCTATCTTTACTCAAAAAAAAAACTAGAGGCAAAAAATCATAAAATCGAATTTCTTGCTTTTTTTCAAATTGTTTATTAACGATCTTTTAGCATAAAATTTTCCTATAAAATTTTTTAAATAAGCTATTCAATTCTCTAAATAATTTTTCCTATGAACTATAGCGAAATTTTGCTTCGTTTTCGAGCTACAACTAAAAAACTGAAAGGGGTGCATTTCCACCCTCTAATTTAATAGCACTCCGCCGTTTTTTCATCTAAAATGACCCTTTGAACGGTTCATGCAATGAAAAAGCTTGAATGTCCATAGTTCCTTTTAACCCTGTTTTTTTGGATATAATCAATAGCCTATCACGATAAATCTCTATCGTTGCAGCCTTACCTTTCCTTACACCATAATTATTCGATTTTGATAATAATTTCACTATCTTGCGATTTTTGTCCAAAATCTTACACTGTGCGTCGGGGTCAGTGGTGTGACAATTGTTTTTAACAATAAACAATTCCCAATTGGTTTAAAAAAAAATTGCATAGAAACAGAGATTTCTTGAAAAAACTGTTTTTTGGGGGTAAACTTTAGGGGTGCGTTTTTGTGCTCTACAACACAGCGAAGTTTATTGAAATCGGCGACTGACACTTCGATAATCTTCCTTGTTAGTTCAAGTTTAATGGTATATGAGCAACAAGAATATATTTTTTTGTGTATATATAAATATGTTATTATTGACTTCAAAGATATTTGCGTAGAGCGGTTATCTTTAAACTTGGTACATGGTTATATTTTTAAATCATAAATAACTTTTCTCAATACGTAAATGTTTTTGATACCAGGATGATGCCTTGGGAACCAGTATGGCATACTATGTCATACACCTATGTGAAATATGTTGAATACTACAAATTAAACATTATTTTTAAACATTGTTAAATCATTTTTTATAATATTTTCATCTAGAAATTCGGTTGTAACAACATTCTTAAGATTTAACGTCGATTGTGCATTGAATTGGGAAACACATATTAACATATCAGTAAATAAATTATGCTCCACGTGTTATGCACCCTACTGGCTATCTAAAATTGTTAATAAACACTGTTATCTTTTTGTTATGCAGAATTCTTATCAAGTAACATTCGAAATGTTTAGTAATGCAAACATACTCAAAAAATCATATTATTCTACCCGAGAAGGTAAAAATCTTATGATTTCACAGTATATTAATTTTTACTGGAAATCGTGGTTTACTTGATCGGTCACAATTTATTCGAAAACAGTGTTTCGCTCTTTCGTATCCCTAAACACGCTTATTCCAATTAAACATTACGTCTGTTAAAGGCAATAAAGAATAATTTTAACAATATAAATTAAAATAAAAAGTGTTTTATGATTTTATAATGTAATGTTTTTGTTTTACTGTCAATTAAATAAATATCTAATCAAGTGACTGATGATGAAGGAAATTAACAATTTAAGTACGCCACTGAATTCTACGGAAAAAGCGATGAAATAAAATCTCAACATTTGAATCAAATAATATCCGAGACACCCTATATTAACAGATGTCAAATATAGCATTTTATATTAACGTTAGACAGGCGAATGGAATTAAAGACATATGTATGCAGTGTATTGTTAAAAAATAATTTTTACATATGCCAGAGCCAAGTATTTGTTTGTGAGCTTGTGACTACGTTTATTAAAATATTATTTACTTTTATTATGTTTATAATACATATTTTCAAATTTAAAAAAGTCTATTTTGGTAGCACCGATTTTGCACATTGCTATACTTAGGAAAATTATGCCACAGGAAAAAGATAACAACCCATTTATTGAAATATTTTAAACTCGTTTAAACTATATCACGATTAAGTTTATTTTTTTTTAAGTATACTTACTTATCGGACGGCATTTTTAATTGTATGAAGTTGGAACTCTCATAGATTTCAGTCGTTTGAGTTTTAATCTTTCGAAAGTGCAGTAAAATATACAATTTTTTATACATTATTTGCATATCGTAGTAACTAATTATTAAAATTTATTTAATTCGCCAAAAAATAGTTATTAAATTGTATTCCTTTTTGAAAATATATATTATTATTATTATTATTTAGTTTAAACACATCTTTCGAAAATATACTTTACTAAAACTATTTTGAAATTGTGGACATTATTCGAAAGTGTAGTAAAAAGTAAAATCATAAATTTTGATATAAAATTTCTAGATTAGAGCATACATTATTTCGAAAGATGCGGTTTTCCTCGTAATTCAAACTTATGTGCTTTTACACCCCCACACAATTCTTCGCTTGCCTGGAATATAATAGAGTTGTGCATCCAAAGTGAAATTTACTATCCAGTTATTTATTCAGATAATATTTTTTAATATTCCAGGAAATAGAAAGTTTTAATGTCTTAATATGTAAAGAAATTATTAATTCTATTTGCGAAAAATAAACAAAAGGGCATGTTTAAAACCACACCCTTAAATTTTTATTGTTAGGTGCACACATAGTTGCATACAATAGTTCGTTCTTGCTGTTAGATAATCCTCCAGGAATGTATCAGGTTCATTGGGCTTCTGATAAATTTCACCAGCATAGATAAAATAAGGAACTTATGTTACTCACATTATTTGTAACAATTTAAAATCGTTTTGCAGATTTGTGGCACTAAAATATTTTACTTTTCTTCTTCCTTTAATCTGAAAAATATCCGTCTAATCGCAGTGAAACACGTATTGTGTTTTAAATATACCTTTCTTTGAGATTGTTGTATAAAATAGTATATATTTATATTTAAAATCTATTTTGAACGCGTTTTTTTCTTTTACCAGCCGTTAGAATTTTAAAATATTGTCGTTATGTTATTTATAATATTTACTGTTGACACGCGTTTATATTTGAACTTTAATATTTTTATTATTAAATTTAGGTATAAAATAAAAACGGCCATTCCGGATCTGTATAGTCCTCTCCTCCGTGTTGGTTCTGTATTCTGCGCCATAAACGTTTCAGGTTTATATCAAACAGAAATGTGAAGAGAATGCTAACTATCCTTTTATTTCCAACGAGGAGCTCTTTATAAGAAATATCACGAACATTTCTCCATCCCTAATCTAATCCTGAAGTGCTATTTACAAGGATTAATAAAACAGTATCTGACTAAAAGTAATGTTAACAATGTTTTATAGCGCACTTCCGGTACAAATGATTTGCATTTAGCTAAATTGCGTGTCACTAATCTAAGCGACTATACGTTAAAAAGAATTTTTCTGAGGCTTTAGTTTCATTTGACATTTTTGAAGTGGGTGGTACCTGGTGAGTTGAGTAAAACAAAAAGAAACGTCAATCTTGTTAACGAAGAAATAAATATAACAGTTTTTAAATGTGACAGATTTATGATTATTTTCATAATTTAGCTGTCCAATCGGGTATATGAGGCATGTCCTTTTTGGGTCGGTCAAGTTACTTGAAAATATGTAAGAAGATGAAAGCTAGTTATATTAAACACAAATGAAGTTCGAACATAATCCACCCCATAATTTATGATACATATGTATATCAACTTGTTGCACACTATAAATAAAAGAAAGCCGATATTTTAAAAATAAGGATATATTAATCTAGAAACACGCAATACGTTCTTAGTAGTACCTACATTTAAAATTCTAGTAATTTAATTTAATGATAAAGTTGCCAACGCCTCACCTCAACTTTCTAGAAAAATATAGGTTTTAAAATGTAGTTTTCCTTTTCTTGCAAAAGTTTCGATACCTTATGTCAATTAGTAATTAAGATCAGTACTGCATGGAATTGCATTTACGTCTATTATTTACCATTGCGGCTATAGACCAGGGCGGATCTGTTTTGAGGTGGATGTGAGAGGGGTCAAGCAAATTTTTTCTGTATTACTTTCAGTACAACTCGCATAATAAAAGTGTAGATCCCTAGATCTGAGCGAGGTCCGGAACATTTTCAAAATTGCAAAAATGTCTAAAAAATTTTAAAAAATACCTATTTTATACGAGTTTTTTACTTATATCTTGGAACCTATGCATTTTGGAAGGATATTGAAGAGGAAAAAAGTGTTAGAATTGAATTTTGCACAATATACTGTAGGTTAAAATTGTTTAAATTTATTACCGATGTTGCAAAATAGCAATAATTGATGAAAAAAGGCATAATAATCAAGTTTTTTGGATAATTTTTTTAAAATATTTCAATTGCTCCGAGCGCATTCTAATTTTGGTAAAAAAAAACTTTAGAGTATAATAAAACAACACTCCAAACTTCATTAAAATCGGCTCTATAGTTTTCGCAATAATTTTTTGAAAAAAATTTTTCGAAATTTCAAAATGTTGCACAGCTTCAAATAAAGCATCTAGATACTTGAAAATTTTTTCACATAGAAAAGACCGCTCAACTTTTCAAATGGTTTTTGAACCTCCGAATTCAGTCTCGGAGGGAAAGCCCCCTCCCCTATTTTTCGTGTTTTGAGTCACTTTTCGCGCGTGCGAGGGACAGCTTTTCCGCTGATTTATCGATGTTGCCGATAACTTATGGATATGAAAATTTTTTCCAGCTTAGAACTCGGAAAAAACGAAGCCAATGGATCAAAGATTATTGCTAAATTGTTTATAAATTAACGGTAAATGCCGATAAACTTTGACCGGTTATATCTTGAGAACCAATAGTACTTTAAAATTACAATTTTTGAAAAAAACTAAATTGCAAATTGATAAATGTAATCTAATTGTTTAAAAATAAAAAAAAGTGTTAACTTTAAAAATTTACAGTAGCCGTCCTAATCAACCGATTTCAATTTTTCGAAAACCATTTGAAAGGTTGATCGGTCTTTTCTATGTGAAAAAATTTTCAAGTATCTAGATGCTTTATTTGAGGCTGTGCAACATTTTGAAAATTCGAAAATTTTTTGCGAAAACTGTAGAGCCGATTTTAATGAAATGTGGTGTGTTGTTTTATTATACTCGTAAGTTTTTTTTGCCAAAATTAGAAACTTGATTATTTTGCATTTTTTTCATCAATTATTGCAAGTTTGCAACATCGGTAATAAATTTAAACATTTTTAACTTCAGTATATTGTCCAAAATTCAATTCTAAAACTTTTTTCCTCTTCAATATTCTTCCAAAATGCATAGGTTCCAAAATATAAGTAAAAAACTCATATAAAATAGGTATATTTAAAATTTTTTTATTTATGTGAGTTGTACTGAAGGTATTTCAGCAAAAATTAGCTTGCCCCCTCTTACATCCAAGAAGTGGGATATTTCGACAGATCCGCCCTGGTCTACTAAGATAATACCAAAAATTGTATTCGTTAGTTCCGAGTTTAATTAACGTCTGAATTATAATTGTAAACAGGTATCATTAAAATATTAAATACAATGTTATATCGTTATCGTTATACTCGACAATTAGAGATCAGTCTCCTCAAGGATGGTCTTCAGTCATCAATCCAGCTTGCTTCATATAAGCTCGCGTTACATGAGAAGAAAAAAAACTAACCTATTGAATTTACCAACCCACCCACGGGATAAGAAATTTAATGCTTAGCCGCCACTGATATAGCTCTACCTCTATCTATCAACCTGCGTACCAGCGCAAAGCAATTCTTGGTATCTTGTTGCGCACACACCCACAACAGTTGCTCTTCTTGGAATCAATATTAGATGTGTAGAAACAGGGGCGGCCTACTCTTGTTGACGATAAATAATAATTATATTAATGCGTACACTTTAATTGAAGCTCTGGATAGTCTTAACGATTATATATTCGATTCCGTAATGACCTTTTCTGTAATTGTCTTTTGTATTCTATTATTCATTGGTAGGACTCGAAGGCTTTCGATAAAATTAGAACGTCTATAATAAATGCAGGGCCAGGGAACAAATTTAATGGTAAAGTTTTAACAGCTTTAAATAAAGAAACTTCTCATAAAGTGGTCTGAAGGAAACGTTAAAATTTGGATTCTAGGTTCTACGAATATTAAATGACTCGCTTAGATTAACACGTATTTCATAAAACTTGATGGCTTTTCCAAAGCACTTTGCTGGTGAGCAAAATGAATTAATTTTGAAAAAAAGTAAACGGCAAGGAAATACGTAAATTATATATTTCAGTTTTATTTACATTACGTAGGTATTGTAAATAAACTTAATGCAAAATAATCATTTAAAAAATAATTAAATAAAAAGCTATGACGTTTTTCCTGATGGGGTTATGGAAGTGTGATAATGTAACCTTTGAATGTTTACGAAGAACATTGATTACTCCCTCTAGAGGTTTTTCCGTCCGAATTCGTGGTCCGAATATATAAAGAATCCAGGGAAAAGTCGTAAAGTAAAATATTTTTTCCTCGTTAATTATTAGTGGAGTGATAGAGCATTATTATGTACACTGTAAGCTCCTGTTCCAGAGTTAAAATGGTTAATGAGTAAAATATACTGAAAACCAATCGGTGTGTGATATCTAATACGATTTCATTAAATTTTTACTTGTTTAGTTATACAGATTTTTCATAAATGATTACAAGCCACGTGACCAATAATTTTATTTGAAACAGTAATTTTATTACTTGCAAGTTAACAATTAAATTTCGATAAAATTAAAACAGTAGGGTTAAGATTACATTTAAACACAGCATTTTATATCACCGGTTGATTATTGGTGTAATTTTTCACGCACGTAGACGTAACGGTTTGTTATTGTTCATTGTAAACGAATCATCAATGACGCTGTTTGGGGATTTTTAGTCAACAGTACCAGTTGGTTGCCTTAGCTTGGACACAGTACAGAAAACAGTAAATTCACTGTCTATCTAACCTATTTATAAATAATGGACCCGTTTCATTTTTATGTCGCTTTAAGTGACTGCGCAGAGACCACACGCAAGTGGGGAACTTCAAAAGCTAAAAGCTAAGCTGGGTTTGCTACTGCGCGTAGACCACGCGTACCTTTACTGGACTTTTAGAGCAGTGGGGTTGTGGTCCACAAAAGACGGGGAGTTAATTTACTGTTTTCTGTACTAGGGCTCGGAGGTCACGAGGGTTGTGTTGTAATAATTTATGAAAACTCTGTATATGATAAAACCAGACAATCATATAATAGGAATGTCACTTTCAGATTATTTGGATAGATTATGACTATAATAAGGATAATTAAAATCGGATATATTTCTGCCTTTAGAAAACCTTACACCTACTCAAAAACTTTTTTATCTCGAGACACTTTATTTGCATTTGAGCAAAAATATAAAATTGCAGGTACTTCATCCCACATGCCAATTTAATTTCTTTTTATTTAAAAGGGAGTTAATAAAACAAAATGTTATATATTTTTTTTTATTAAGTTGTTGATATAAACTAGATATTAAAAATATATCTTAAGTAATACTTTGGTAAAAATATTTCTAAATATCTATACACGTTAACATTAAATACAAAAAAATGTATTTAGTGTTTATAAATTCAATTATGTACAAATTGGTACAATTATTTGTACCATATAATGGCGATAACTAAAAAAAAATTTTGTAGATGAGATGTAATCTGTTTTTACAAAAAAAATGTTATTTACAACTATTGCTAGGAATTTTTTCTTATATTATTGTTAGATATGTAGAAGATCCCCATAGAGGCAAGCTTACAGCAACATTTGATTAAATATATACAAAAAAAATACCAAAATAGTACAGATATATTTGATTACAGTTTTTAAGGTATATTGGCAATTTGATAATTCATACGGCAAGATAATAAATTCTTAAAAATGTAGTGCACTATAGTAGGATCGTATTCGATGCAAAGTAGAGCAAAAATTGTCGGCCTTTTATCAAAGGAAAATCGTGTCATCATTTTTAGGACGCATAAGATGAACCATTTAAATTTAAAATGAAATTGAATGTAAAATCACCGCATCATACGCGTTGTGTTCTGGTAGTAGCTGTAGGCCCCCAGATGCATCAAGTGTACGAAGTGGTCAGTTATACATCAAATACTAACCCGCCTCCAAAAAACAAGTAAATAACAGTGATGGTAAAATGTAGTACATATGTGAATTTTTTAAAAACAAATTGAATTTATAATAAATTACATTTAAAATAAATAGTTTATGAGAATAAAGGCATTTTTGTAGGAACAGGGGTGCCAGACGTGAACTGATCCCTTCATCCGTCCATAATGCATAAAGAAATTATTCAATTTCTAAACCCCTTAAAACCGTACTACACTGGATCCCTTGACAGGCAATGATTTATTACTTTGCATCGAATATAATCCTGCTATAAATATATGTATACAAAATACTTCCAAAAATAGTTCTGAGCTCCTTACAGTCTTTCGAAATATTGTGAAATCTTCTCTAATCGTTAAGCAAATTATGCATGATTTTAATAATGAACGAATAAATATATTTATATCACATCATGTGTTTTCAATACATATACAGTATGTCCACGGTTAAGAGTGGAAAAGAGGGAAAATATTTTAATTTTCCATTTTACGAGAAAAAGGCATTCTTGATTAAAATTTTTGCATGTCTTTAATAAATCCTTCAAAATGGCTTTTTTCTCGTAAAATGAAAAATACAAATAATTTCCCTCTTTTCCGCTCTAACCGTGGACATACTGCATGTTTTTATTTCGTAGATTATATAAAAATTCTTGTTGGATTTTTTTCAATACATTTGTGACATTAAGACCACCACATTGCAATGATATAAAGCCTTCATAGTATACGGTAAAATCAAACAGTACAACAGTGGCAGTATAAAGTATTTCAAAGCAATACACTATTGCATGTGCGTTTTTTTTTATTTTCCGTGCATAAGTGCATTTGTAGTAAGTAATAATATTTAAAGAAATACAAAGGGCTTTTCTGGATTTACTACACTTAACACACCACTGTTAATAACAGTAACCTTTTATAATTCAAATACATTGTTCTAAATTATATGAAAAAAATGTTATGAACTGATGTAAATGACTAGAAGACCTTACTACACACGGTTATTTAAATAATGCGGACGGTGATTTTACAATCAAGTCACCAAAAAAGCAGTAGGGCTAGGGAGCAGAGAACAAATGATCAAATCTACATATTTTTCTAAAACAAAAATATGAAATAAGCTGGAAATATTTACCGATTTCATAATTTTTTCAAATTTTCCTTTTAAAATTCTTCATCAGTTGACATTTATGCAATAGATTTTTATACGAGTTTAAAATAGTTGTAGTTAAAAGTCTGCGTTACTCCGTCTCACCTTAAAATATGTACAAAATATACTACCTACTAACCGATAAGGCTTGTAAGAACACAAAATGAAAATAAATAACTTATCTATATGGGAGTTTCAGAATCAACAGGAATTTGGCTTTGCGACGAATACGCCGGTGGTCCGTTGTTTAAAAATGCCATCGACCTCATACTGTTCCTATTAGGATTATTTCGTTTTTGCGGTACTTGCGGAGTAGCATGGCTATGATAATGTTTAGGAGGAGAATAGTTCAAAGCCCTAGTACCGTGAAAATTTGAATAACTCGATCTAACCGATGCAGGTCTGTTGTTATAGAGATCATCTAGGTCTTCAGTATCGTTTAAAGAGTGCTGCGATGACTGTTGATAAGTCGGATTAGCATGGCCATTTTGCCAATTCTGATGATTTATCAAATTATTATTTGATGCACTGAAATAGTTTGGTAATGGTGATTCTATAGGTGAAGGACTAGCTGGACTGTCGTACGCCTGACATTTTTGTTGTTGCTCCAGCAGACGTGTCACTGGATTTTGTGCCATTCTCCTGGAACTCCTCGTTGACGATCGTGATTGCGAGTGTCTTCTACTACTCGTACTATGTCTGCCAGACGATCCTCTCGTCATAACACTACGCCTCTTCACTCTTCGAGGAGTCATTGGCTTCGGAGATACAGGGGGTGGTAAATGATCAAAATCGTTATCACTATCACCATGTCTATTGTCTAATTGGGAGCTGAATTCAATAGAGTAAAGAGACATCCTCTGTTTGGCATTTTTTCGAGAGGATTTACGTGACACTGTCAAAAATGAAACTTGTTAATTACTCGACCGAGTGTGCAATGCATACCTTAAACGTCCAAAAACAGTCGCGACAGTTTTGGGCATTTGATATGCTCGATGGATACAGATAGAAACAAATTTAAGTGCTTCTAAACATTTTTCTAAAAATTAGTTTAATTAGTGGGTTCCTATTCAGAAAACTTATATTGTTTCTATCGTATGTTAAAAAAGTGGATAGAAAAAATGCAAATGATAAAAAATAAATGGTTTATTAGTCACTTAAGAGTAAATACAAAGAACATGCAATAATAACTAACTAGGTACCATACAAGCAGATAAGTATTATTAATAGGCAAAAAATAAGTTAAAAAATATAGGGAGCTTAGACTACTAAAAGCATAACTAAATACAAAAATGTCAGTTGCAAATTATTTCTATATATATTTTTTTGTACTTTATGCTGCGAAGAAAAAATGATAGTTCCTTTTCGGACAACATAATGTCCAGAATATCCAAGTCATATACAATTATTTTTTATATATTTTTATATAATCACTGCAGTCAATCAAAATAATTATTTTTCGTCAAGTGAAAAGTTAAGTAAAGCAATTATTATTTAATCCCTCTTAAAATAAAGTGGGTAAATAAATTCAGATTTGACTAGAAAGTGTATGTTTCGCTACATATCGTAATATGCATCAGTATACAGCGACTTGGGTCGAATGGATCCTTTTTTTCTGTGAGCTTTAGTAAGAGTGTTAAAGGAATTGCTCCGTCTCATAGGATTGCGAATGGTATCAGCGCAGACTTTTTGGTTATTCTGGCGAATATACAATTTTTGTGAATTAGTTGGCTTAGGGTCATTTAAGTAACTTTTGGGCGTTACGTTAACACGTTTGTTAAAATTGTGCAAGTTATCATTGGAGCTCACATACATTGGATGTAATAAATAATTATCGGGCCCATCTGGCTTCTCGAAATTAACTGAAAATAAAGATAAAGCGATAGGCTACATACTACAAGAGAAGTGGGAAGAATGTACAATATCTACAAGATGCATTAGGTGCATTCCCATATACCGTCACTTACCAAATAGATTGCGGATCAAATCCACCAATGAAATCAACTGCAAGCATATGATTAATTCGATCTATTATTAGTCGATTATAAAAAATTTTTTCTTGTTCGTAACAGCCTTTATATAGTTGTAATATTTTTTTCACTAATTGAACAGTGCATTACATAAAATCTTTTATAATCATACTAAGTTGAGCTTGTATTTGTTAGTAGGTCTACAGGGGAAAAACTAATGAAAAAAATTACTTACAAGTATCGTCGTCTTCTCTAAACGATCGGCAGAGACATATACTTATTACGCTGTTTAAGAGCTGAAATAAACACATTCTTTAAATAACCAAAATGAATTTTTTCTTTTATTTCTCAGATTACAATTAACAAGTTAACTTACAGCAAAATAACATTGCAATCCCGCTTGAAAAACTTCCACGTAAACATATTTAACTAAGCAACCTTCATATCCATTACCGTCCTTTCGCACTTTACATCCAGGACCATTTTCTTTCCACCAGCTATTACTATTGGGGTCTAATTTCAGCACCGTATTATTCTGAAATTAATCGACTTAGAAAATAGCGACAACAAACTTTTTATATTTAAATATATATGATAAGTTAACTAATAATAGTTAATAGATAAGTTTATTTTGTATAAAAATTTACACGTTTGTTAAAAATTGTAGATAAAATGTGAGTCATGCAATGAGATAAAATCTTATTTATCTTTAAAGAATACTTTTAAAAACTGTTCATAAAGAAAGCAAAAAATGATTTCATAAAAATGAATAAAAATAAACCAAGGATATATGAATTACATATTAGTCAACACTCAAATATTACTACTTTGTCATACTCACCTCATGATCTAGACCAGCAACATCGAGATATAAACAAATTATAAAAATATTCCAAGCTAGCCAGAAAATATGCCATAGTAGATACTGAAATTATCGTTGTTCTTAAAATGACTAAACGTATCGTACAGTTGTACTTACCGCTACAATGTATTTGGTTCGATACTGATAAGCTCCAAAAAAACCAAAAATGACAAATATAATTTCAAAAAAGTTTACCAAAATAGGAATCCACAGAAATCCTAGGAAATCAAATACTTGTCTCACAACAACTGATAACTAAAATTGATAAAACTCATATGGTATTTTAGTATTCACAAATTTTTTCGCACTTACAATTTGTAAAACACATACTGACAAAAACAAATTCCTCCTCGCGCAAAGTCCCATGTCATTAGGGCTTTCTATATTCTTAACCGTTTGTTTAGTTCTATTTTACTACTTTTGCAAAATCCACTTCTGCCATTTCACCACCATTTTTAATACATAAACCTTAAACAGTTAAATATTTCTCATAGGAATCATTGCACTTAGAGTGATTAATTCGATTGACAGGAAATGCAAGAAAATACAAAATACCTGTTAACTGATGCACCAGCTACTCTATTGTTTGATTTTCTCAACAGTCTTATTCACATGTTTTCATCTCTCTCTTGAAATTTTTCTGATTTGATCATTTCGTTACATACAGGTGAATTTAACTGTCAATGCAACTTGCTACCTTGCCACTTACCTTTCATTTATTATCATTTGATTGTGATCAATAAATAAGCAGATAAATTTTGAAGAAGAAGACGAAGAGTGAAGCCAAACAGTTTTCTTTATCATTGTGCCATACAGCCATTTCATGTTACCTTAGAAAAAGATAGATGGCGCGGCGCTTTGCGTATTTTTGATTGAGTGATTGATGTTCAATTTTTTTAACCAAAATTTTAATTAAAATAAATATTCCTGTGTTATATTTATTTTCATTTTAGAAATTTGCATAAATTGTTTTCTTTAATTATCTTGAACACATATAATAAAACGTATTTTAAAAGTTATTTCGTAGATAAACGCATCCTTAATTTAATTGGATTAAATTGTTTCTCTCTAAGTTAAATGTATGGACACGAATCATTTAAGTGGGTACACGTACACACCAAAATGAGAAAATGATAATTATTATGCACTTCACTTTTTTCATTTCACTAGAAAAACTATTCAGTTATTTAACTGATGATTGATTTGTGTAGTGAATAGTGAATTATATTAACATAAAAAAATATCCTGTTATTTTTGAACATTATGCACTTTGCTATATTGATGACTATAGAAATGAAATGCAAGTCAGTCAATTTTTTAATATAGATGCTATATGAAATAGAAAGTGTAATGTCATTAGTAGAATGTAAAATATTATTAATCTGCAAGTTTATAATGGGTCAAATGTGAACCTTCTGTTATCGTTATTTGTAAAAACAAAAAAGTTGCATTGTGTCGTGGCGGGGCACAATGGTGTAAAAAATCGTTTATTCTGGACGAGATTTATTTTTATCTATATTTAAAATTCTTGGAGAATGAATAAGTATTTATTAAATATGATAATGGTGCTTAAGAATATTAGAGTTTAACCTCGACGGGTAGAAGATTCGGTAAATACTACTTTTAGATAAACAGCTAGTTTTTATTGAATCAAGAAATATTGTCTTGACAGATAAGTAAGAGCAACTACTGTAGTCTCGGGCGCATATATCTTCACTCGTGTTATTATTGCCAAGTATAAAGTTTTAAGAAAATAAGTTTAACTGGAAACAAACATTAATCGTATTCTTCTAAAAACTGTGCAGTATTTTAAGTGAGTTTGCAATGGCCAAAAATAATGAGAAAACCAACATTTTGTAAGTATTTATAATTTATAAGGTTTATAATATTATTAAAATATTAATTACAACTAACGTTACTTTAGGGGTTTGAATGGTAATTACTATGGATCGTTGGGTGTACATAATAGTATAACACCACCCTCGAATATTTTGTCACCAAGAAGGGTTATATACTGTGTGCATGGCAAAGCTAGTGCAGGCTGTTGCAAAGTTTTGGAAGGCGAAATTATAGATATAATTCCGGATGAAGATAACATAAGCACCCACACCAAGGAAAACACAGATACGACAGAACTAAGTATATTTTAATTTATTATGTTTATCTTTTAAATCTTTTTATAACATATAGTGGTTCTACATATAATGCATCGTTTTCATTCACTGACTATTTACATATTTGATATCTTTTAATTGTTTATCATGCCAAAGCCGCTATATTTTCATTAATTTGTTTTTCTTTATTGTTCACATCTAAATTAAACAAATTTTTATTTTAGTAGATGAATCATTTAATTATAATTACGAATAATTCAAAATTACATGAAGCAAAAAAACAAAAACATATTTATAATAATTTTTAAATGTTTTGGGTGTAATTTCCCTGCAAGCTTCTGTTATTTTTCCCTTTATTTCTTCTCTGTTGGTTGGTTGGACTGCGTATACTTTGAATTTAAGTACCTATGGCGCATGTGTTTTCATAGATTGCCTGATATCATTATCTTCAAAACAGTCGAAAATTATATGTCCAAAAATTTAAATTTCGTTAGTTATAGAATATATAAAGATAGATACTATGTATTAGTATTACGTATATTGCGATATAAAAGTAGAGAAATTTATTTAATCGTAAAAAAACCTAATTTTACGTTAACATTAGTTGTCATGATTTAACCTACAACCACATGTTCAACGAATTTAGGGAATTTTTGAAAGGTCTGTAAATAAAATATACTTAATAAGTTTTCGCATCTGATGTATTTTCATGTTTCATTGATTTTAATTATACCGAAAGTTATTTATTTTTTGGAAATTAAGAATATGTTCGATAAAATTGTGGATACTGTTTCGAAAACAGAAGAAAATTTCGATTCAAATATTTGGAACGAAACTTGAATAGAACTCCGAATTGAGAAACAAAAGCTTTCGTGCAAATGGGTTGTGTTATATGCGTGTTGATAGCACTGTGTTACCAGGAATTAGACCGAATCAAAACTTGAGCAATATACTCGTAAAATTCCGTTAATAAACTCTTTTATTGATTCATTAGAATTTCCATTAGCCAGAGATTGGAACCAATCTTTAGCCTTCATCACATAAGAAATGTGCCAACACTGCAAGCACTACTAAAATGCCTGTGTACAGAGAAATCGTGAAGGAGTGTAACCAACGCTGTATGTTTGGTGGCCTACAAACAGGCGCAACGTTGATTTGTTATATAAAAATGATCCATGCAATTATAAAATAAAAATAAATAATTGTAAATAATAAATTGTAAAGAAAATTATATTAATTCTTAAAAAAATGCTTTGACCCAACGAACCCAACTGTTTCCATCTGAAATGGGGCATACTGTATATAAAAAGGATTATTTGAATTTTAAATACATGTATGGCCTTCCTGACAAATTGTTGTAAATACTTATGTTCAAAATAATATTTCCTAATAGTATTATAAAAATCAGTTATTAATATACCCCGCACAATTTTTTTTTGTTTTCAATAAATACGTTTAAAATTATAAGAATTCGAACTAATTATTTAATAATTAATTAATAATTTAAATGTAAATTGGGTAGAACATTACATTGTCAGAGTTAGATATGTATAAAATTGGCATTTGATTTATAACTTTTGAATAAATTTAAAACTGACGTAACAATTTTGTTTAGAAGTACTTGTTTTTCCTCCGACTGTGTGTTTTGGATGCATTATCTTTGCACGTTTTGTTGCTCAATGAGTGTATTTCAAATCTTGAAAATTATCCATCTTATCAGTTCGAAATTCCGTTGATATTATCTACATGTATTTTATTTATAAAAATACGCAAAAACAAAGCCGTGAAATATAAAAATTTTTAGAACGTTGCATAATTGCAAATAGGTTTACAGTAGAATAATTTGTATTCAAAACTATCCCAAGCGACGGAACTATATTTCTACTATAGAATCAGATTTTTGCCAACCACAGTAACCCTACTAAGTAATTGAGTAATACATTATTTAAATTATATTTTTTGTATATTATTAGGAATTATTGTGACATTATAAGGGCAGTAATGATTGTACGTTGACGAAATATTTGATTTATCTAGTTTATCAGTGTTTTGTTTATTAATAACTAACCTATTTAAAATCGTTTACATCTAATCAATTTGTTGGGTTGTGTGTTGTGTATCTAAAAAAATGTTTTCGTTTTATAAATATTTCATAAATAAAAAAACAACCTAAACTTTTTATGTCGTTTTATGTGATTATCCAAAGTCTGTTGAATTTTTGCAAAATATTTTTTTGGAAATTGATAAGGAAAAAAATATATTTATTTCCTTTTTCTAAGGGTTACAGCTTTTTTTAAAAAGGTTTTGTCTAATATTTGTTGGTGTTACGTGTTTTTATAAAAGAGCAAAATTATTTCGTAGTAATTTGATCATGAAATCTTTTATTCATGTATAATTAATACTAAAACTAAGGCCTAAACTAAATAAGTTAATGTGAATAATTGTAGTAGTCGTAAAAATCGTACATATTTAGTCAGATTAATGTTAAAACAATGATTTTCGCGTTTTTAATGTTGTGCCGAGTGCAGTAATTATTACGTAGAAGCGGATATTTGTTGAAATATATACATGGAGTGTCAGATAAAAATAATCAGGACGTTTTACCACTGCTTTGAAAATAAAAATGGTATTAGACATAAGCTTCCAAAAAACGTATAATTATTAAATTTTTATTAATTTTGTGCGCTGTATTCTAGTAGGAATTATCTACTGTCTTGTTTATCGTATTGCTTTCCAAATAAATAACGGGCAATTATTATTTAAAGAACAACCGTGCCGCACTCAGGAATAAATATGATACCAAGCGATTAAAAAATGGAAAGACTGAACATTTCAGACAGAAAATAAATAGTCTGGAAATCATTGAATCTGTGAAAATTACAGAAATATTTTGGAAGAGGGTTAAAATAGAATAAAAAATGTATTTTTTGTTTTTTTGAATAGTGTTCAGTTTAATAAACAGGTTATTTACAAAAATATATCATCGTGCTTTAATCATAAACTTAAATTTTTAGTACTATTATCTAAAACATGATAACAAATAAATCTTTAAACAGTAATCAATGAAAAGAGTAAGTACTATATATTTTGATTTAACACTTTCCTTGTCTGATTTGGTACAGAGATAAATGTTTGTAATTTAATATAAAAATATAAACAGAAACAGAGCCATACAAGTACTTACGACTTTTCTTCAAAAAAATCCAGAATTTTAAAAAATCGTTTAGAATATACTTGAAAATAAATCATTTGAATTAAATTAAAATTCCATGTATTATCGTGACATACTTAGTATCTTATTTATACGCAGCCACAATTTTGCACACAGCCCTTAAATTTTTTATCGAAATTAAATATGTATATTTGAATTGAATTACGAAAAAGGGGATAATGGGTTACCGGAGATCACGTGGTTGTATTTCTTATCGCATTGTTAAATTTACTTATATTAGTAGAAATTAAAATAGCTGTTATTTTCATTAAAGTGATAGACCAGGTGATATTTTGTGTTAAGGATGACTGTAATAGACATAGAGGGTAGGACATTGTATTCTTTATTGTTGTTTAAAAATAATAAGAGCAGTAAATCAGTAAATTATCCAACAAATCAACTCTGTATTGTCATTTCAGTTAATAAACACTGCCATCAAAAGGGAGCTCCTGAAGTGGATAAAAGAGCTAGAAGGAAACTAATAATAGCTAGTATATTATGTGTGATTTTTATGATAGGAGAAATTGTAGGTAAGGTCTAAAATGCTTATATTTAAGTTGTTTTGTCTTCAGTTTTGGAAGTTTGATTATATTTTCAGGTGGATACATCTCAAACAGCTTGGCGATAGCGTCAGATGCTGCGCATTTACTAACGGACTTCGCCAGTTTCATGATATCCTTATTTTCTTTGTACATGGCCAATCGTCCATCAACCAGGAAAATGTCGTTCGGGTGGTACCGCGCCGAAGTCATAGGAGCCCTAACATCCGTACTGCTTATATGGGTGGTCACGGGAATCTTGGTTTATTTAGCAGTACAGCGGATAATCAACAAAAATTACGATATCGATGCCAAAGTGATGTTGATAACGTCCGGAATTGGAGTTATTGTTAATCTTGTGTAAGTTTGAAAAGTACTGAAATTCGGAAGTAAACTAACATACTCGTTTTTCTCTCTTAGAATGGGATTAACATTACATCAACACGGCCATACGCATAGCGGGAGTTCTCATGGGCATTCGCACGACGAAAATATAAATGTCAGGGCGGCTTTCATCCACGTTTTGGGAGACTTTCTTCAAAGCTTTGGAGTGTTTGTGGCCGCCACTGTCATATACTTCAAAGTAAATATTTTCATTTTTATTCATAGCATAGCTTCAAAGCGAAACGTCAAAATTGTGTTTTTCCCCCCAAAAACAGTATAACTACTTTTTTTCTCATAAAAGTTATTTTTAATTTAATTAATTCTATTGTTTTATGACATAAATGTTAATTTTTTGCAGTCCTGCATCTTAAAATACAAGAGGCTGATGGTCCATAGAAAAAATATATTTTTTGAAACATGAAACCTTTTTCAGAATGCCCTGTAGATAGTAGGCTTCTAGATTTACTTTCTAAACCAATAGTCCAATTAAATGGGCCTTTCAGTCGCAATTTTGGTAAACTTGCCTGAATTTTTTATGTGTTAGTTTTTGGTATACAGGGTGTTAATAATAAGTTCTTCCAAACGTTAATGGCGTATCCTACCAATAAAAATAATCAACGTTTGCTCTATAAATTTTTTTGATAAAACGCTTCCCTACGGAGATACAGGATGTTAAAAGTTCCAAATATTTTTCTTATAACTTCACTGGCACAAAATATTTAGTGATAAAATTTGAGGGATAACATTTTTTAATAGGGACTATTATTTCATGGATAACTTATTGCAAAATACATTCCAACGGCATTATTGGGAGAGTAGAGGACCTGTTTTGAAAAAAAAATCGTACGCCACTGGTTTTTGAAATAATTTTAAATGTTTTTAAATAGTACAATCAATTTGTGGCAAAAAAGTATTCTTGTAAAGTATTGGTAAAATTTACTGGTCTTTAGATAATTGGGAAATCAAATAAGAAGATACTTAAGTACCTACGTTGCCATTTATCATTTTCTATTGATTGCTAAATGTGTAACAATAAGTTCAATAATATTTTTGAGAGATTTCAAAACACTATACAACGCCACTGTTTTGTGTGTTGCAAAAAGTTTCTTATTTTTCATACAACTAAAAACAGATTTTAATAAAAAAAAAATGTTATTCAATTTTGAACATTTCTTGTGATGTTGTATAGTGTTTTGAAACATCTCAAAAATATTAGGTATTGAATTTATTACACATTTAGCAATCGATAGAAAATGGTATATAGCAACGCAGGTACTTAAGTATCTTCTTATTTGATTTCCCAATTATCTAAAGATCAGTAAATTTTACGAATACTTTACAAGAACATTTTATTGCCACAAATTGATTGTACATTTTAAAAACATTTAAAATTATTTAAAAAACCAGTGGCGTACGATTTTTTTCAAAAAAGATCCCCTATTCCCTCAATAACTACGCAATTGGAGTGTATTTTGGAATAAGTTATCCATGAAAAAATAGTCCCTACTAAAAAAATGTCATCCTCCAAATTTTGTCACTCAATCTTTTATGCCAGTGAAGTTACAGGAAAAATAATATAACTATTTGAAACTATTAGCACCCTGTATCTCCGTAGGGAAACGTCCTATCAAAGATTTTTATAGGACAAAACTTGATTATTTTCATCGGTAGAATGCGCCATTAAAGTTTGACAAAACTTATCATTAACACCCTGTATAATATCAATGACAGTAATTTTTTGTTCAATCCCCTGCCAGGGGTGAAAAAATAAAGTATTTTTTAAAGATAATTCAAAAGGGAGTAAGAGCTAGAAAAAATTTTTTTTTATAAAAGTTATAGAGCATAAAATTTTACATAAAAATTATCAAAAAAATGTCGAAAGCAACTTTTCATTATTTTAAACAATGAATCGAAGGTGTAGAAAAAAAATTGTTTTTGTGTTGGTAAATCATTAAAATTGACAATTAAAACATGGAAATTGTTATAACTTTTTTATTAAAAATAAAAAATAATATTTATTAATCTGAAAAGAAAATTTATATTTTTTAGAGTACATATATTGGAAAAAACTTGAAATTCATTAATTTCTCTGTTTGATTTTTTTAAATTTTTCATATCATCCCTTAACTATTAATTTTAATAGTAGAAGAAAAAATATGTAAAATGTTAGTCAACAACTTACAAAAAAGTTTTTTCTAAAATTCGCTTTTGCCATTTAAAGTCCCATTTAATTGAACTATACTACGATGATCCAGTTGGTAAACCAAGGCTTGCTGCGATTTTTCACCAGCGATATTTGGGAAAATCATTTTAGGATTTTTTTATATTAAAAATGAGGCTGACTGTTGATTATAATTGGTAAATGTAAATAATAGTCCGCTTATGCAAAATAACTTATAAGCAGAGTATTATTTTTCAAATTATGTACTTATAATCAGCCATTAGCTAATTTGACATCTTCATGTATTTCCAAAACGTTCTTGATTTTTAAACTGAAATAGAAACTTCATAAATTAAAAATTTAAAGTATGTATAAAAAATTATTCAACATTGTATATAAATTGATGAAATTTGAGTTTTAAAACTTTTAAATAATGCTAATAATTAGAGCTGCCTAAAGCAATTGACTGAAAAGTCAGTTCTAAAAAAATTGCAGGGGACTATGGATCTTTATCTTTTTTGTTGTTTAATTATCGTCTATATTTAAGTTCCTGTATTATAAAACTGTTTTGTTCCTTCTGCAGAGAGATTGGATGATAGTGGATCCAATATGCACCTTTTTATTCTCCGTTCTCGTGTTGATAACAACCTTCGCCATTATCAAAGACGCTATAATGGTACTTATGGAAGCATTACCTAAGGGTATTGATTTCGAAGCGGTTATGAATATCCTGCTCAACATTGAAGGGGTCAAAAGAGTTCACAACCTAAGGATTTGGGCGTTGAGTTTGGATAAAATCGCCATGTCTGCACACGTTGCCATCAGTAAGTATAAATATAAATACGGGAGTTAATAGACGCGTTATATATTCCTTTTTCTCTCAATTTTAGGTCCAGGAACAAATCCTCAAAACGTCTTAATGGTGGCCACCAAGAATATACACGATAAGTTTAATTTCTTTGAAATGACTTTGCAGATAGAAGAATTTCAAGATGTTATGGAGAATTGTGTACAGTGTAAAAATCCTAATTAGTGTAATTCTTACTTCTTTATTTATTTTTATTATAGTTTTTTTATTATTTAGATTTTATTTTGCTTAATTGTTTAATAAATTGTTTATATTAAATATAGCTGTTTCATTATTTGTGTTATTACTTTTTCATATTAAATAACATGTATTGGAAGTATGTATTGGGACTGGTTACTTTTTGGACAAAAAAATTGTGTAATATGGATCATTTTGGTAAGTTCTTTTAAAATTCAATTTTTTAACGTGAAAAATCTAGGAAATGATTGTTGTTGATGGCTTCGAATTCACAGTTAGATGTCCAAACGCGGAACAATAACTGACGCCCTTCACTTCGTCACCGTTTACCGGCACTATCCCCGTTCACATGGATTGTAGGTTGCCTACAATTCATATTCGAGCTAAAATTTAAGCACAACACTATCTTCGTACTACAAAATCGATACATTTGTTTAAAAACTGGAAAACAATTGTCTTGAAATTTACTAAATGTTTCACGATAATAGTTGTTTACATTTTTTCCGTAGGACAAGTCTGCCGCGTGCGCAGCAGGTTAAGCGCTGTTGTCACGTTGTGATAAAACTCCCCAATATTAACACTGTATTTTGGAAACTGTTAATCTTACGCCCCTGTAATATACAACTTTATTGTTCATTTATGATTACTCTATCTCATGCTGAAGTAATGGCAGTCACACTTCTTACACCCTGTATAAAAACATAAGTAAAACTTTACACCTAATATCCAATGAGATTATATCGAATTCTGTTCTAAGTTGTCGTTGATGAATAATAAGAACAACAATGGTCTTAAGTTGGAGCCCTAAGGCACCCCAAAATTGGCAAGATACTTGCCTGAAGTATTTCCAATGTACCTAACAACAAAATGTCTATTCTGCAGATAAGTTTTAAATAAATTTAGTGTTTTGAGAAATATAATGTGCATGTAACTTTTTCAAAAGTAAGTCATGATTAACTTTACCAAACGCTTTTCTAAAACCCGTATAAATCTCTAGTTGATGTTTTCCCTCGAATACCCGGTATATATCGTTGGTAAATGAAAGTATATTAGTATTTATTGATTTCTTTGCAACAACACCATGTTGCAAAGAAATATTTCTGCAAGTTCGAGTAGATAATATTTTAATTTAGCTTCATTTTCTACATTTAATTTTTCTACTTGTGTAACAAACAGTTCATTTTTTTATCACTAACAATGGGCATATATATGTTCGTATGGCTTCAACTTTCCTTTCGATGATCTGCTTGTTGTATCAGTGGAGTGTGAGCTGAATTTCAGTGATTTTAACACCAATTATATAAAGTTTCGTACATTTGTAGAGTACAACTTATTACACTAATTATTTTATATAGTGACTTTCGCTGCTTTATTGGAAAACTTCGTACAGTATTGTATTTTTCGAAACCGAGAGAGTTGCACTAACTAAATTTGGACAGGACATAGCTAATACAATGCGAAACATCGCCTTAATGTTAAAAATGTTGTCACCGCCGTTCTTGGTTGTGAAAATTCGAAATATTTGAAATTATTCAATTTTCGTGTCATCGTCGATAATTGGCTAGAAATTTTAGACTATGTTTCCTTTAAACTACAAAGGGTTGTCATTTTTTTTCATTTACTAGCGCATAAAATTGTATATACAGGTTTGTAGGTTTTCCTTAAAATATCATCCCAATGTGGTTTTAATAAATAACAAGAAAGAAGCTGTATCAAAAATACTATATATTTGAAAATATAAAAATTTTTTAATATAATAAATAGCTTAACAAATAATTTCTTTGATTTAAATATAAAAAATTTACAACTCATATGTGGACTTATTGCTAGTAAAACCTAACTATAACATTAATAATAAATAACTAACGAGATTCTTAAAAAAATCAGTCATTTTATCTAAAAAGTAGATGGCATCGGTTTTAAATTAGCTACAGAACTTGTTCTCCTAACTTTTACACCTGCTAATTTCCTTTCAATGTCTGCTAAGCTTTGGCCTCTGGTTTCGGGGACGAAGAGGACTGTGAATGCTAATCCTACCACCATAATGGCATCAAATATCCAGAAAGTATAATGGCTACCAATAATTTTAATAATAGGCAAGAATGCTTTTGTAACACCGAAAGTGCATGTCCAGTTGAATGCAGTGGACACTGAAGCAGCAGGCCCCCTAATTTTTGACGGTAGGATTTCTCCCATCATCAACCATGGGACAGGGCCAAAACCGAGGGAGAACCCTAATACATATATCACAAGAGCAATTAGCGGTAACCATCCAAATGGTTTTACATCTACAATGTGTTCATTTTGAAGGAAGAAGTACGCGCCTAGCACACTCAACGATATAATCATGGAAACGCTAGAGATATACAAAAGTACTTTTCTGCCTAATCTGTCTATTAAAATTGCAGCTATAAATGTGGAAACAAAATTAACTACTCCAACGATAGTTGTACATATACTCTCTTTTAAAGAGCTACCAGCATCCTTGAAAATTTTAGTGGTATAAAATATAACGGCATTGATGCCACTCAACTGCTGGAAAAACATTAGCCCTAACACAATAGCAAGGAGTTTTAAGTTGTTTCTTGAAAAGAGAACAAAAACGCTCTCGTTCTGTTTATCCGATTCCTTCTGAATCTTCAGGAGTTCATGGAATTCCTTATCGATGTCAGTTTCGGATCCCCTCAGCCATTGAAGAGCTTCTCTGGATTTTTCTTCTTTCCCTTTAGCAACCAAGAATCTGGGTGATTCAGGAATGAACCATATAAGGACCAGGAAAGGTAACGACAGGATGGCTCCAATAAGAGCTAGTTCCTGCCATTGGTAGACCGTTCCAAACAAGAAACATACCAAGATGCCAATGTTACCAAAAGCGGTTGGCAACAATCCTAAAGTGCCTCTGACTTCAGGCTGGATTGTTTCGGCTAAGTACACGGGTAGGGTTAGAGAAGCAATACCAACACTGGCTCCTGTAATAGCCCTGCTGACATATAAGTACACGTAATTCTGAGCGAAGTAGCTGACAGTCCATGCTGTTAGGAAAAGGATGTTGGTCAACAGGATCGTCCATTTCCTGCCTAAGTATTCAATGAAGGTGCCTCCACATAGCCCTCCGACAAGGGCGCCCAGCGGCATTAAACTCGAGATCCAAGACATCTGTAACAATGACAAAATTGTTTTTAAACGTTCTGAATCAATTGTTTAGGATGTACAATTCCAAAACAATCCGTACTTTTAAAACTCTTTAATCCGGTTTAAGTATGGTTGCACATTTTCACAAAGGCTGTAGCACGGTCCAAGGAAAAATATCCAATGCAACAACTTAATTAGACGAAAAAAATAGCAACGATAAACTTACCTTGTCTTCTTCGAGATTGAAATGCGCTTCTAGAGATAATTGAGCAGGAGAGGTATAAGCAGACGAGTATCCTATGATCATGGACACCCATGATACCGCGACGGCTGTTAGCAACTGAAAAGAAGAACTGAATATTAGCACCTTATCGCACTCGGCATTTTTTTTAAATCACCTGGGAGAACGTGCATTTAGGTCTGGGTTCAGTTTCGGGTATCGAAAATGTGACGTGCGTATCAGCTCGTACTAAAACTTTCATGATTGACTTAACGATCCCGATATTAAACGCACAGATGTTAAAGTCACTGGAGATCACACGACATTTATTAAAAACTGTGCGCGATTGTACGATTTGATTGAGAGCCTGGATGAAAACTATTTCATATGTTATTTGAGTCGGTTTTATAACGTCCTAATATCCCCCCCTTTTAAAGCATTTTTTTATTATTCCTTTCATGATTTGTTATTGTCCTTATTACTTTATAATTCATTAATTCTCAATCGCCTCATTTGAGATGAGCGACGTCATTTCCAAGTTGTTAATTGCGATACTTAAGAAATTAATGGACAGTTTTAAAATGAACACTATCATTTAAATAAAAAAATATTTTATACATTGAACTCGGTTTTACTGGGGTATACCAAATTAATATGCACTTAGAAGACGACCTTCTGAGTGTAGGTAAAGGTTACCTTCAACCAGATTCAAAAATGCATTTCGTAATGAAAAAAGTCATAATTAGGTCAGTACCAAAAGTGTGGCCCCATTCTTGAATTAGGATCTAGGTGTTAGTTGTAGATGGTAGAGAGAAAAATATATAAAACAATTTTTAAATCATTAATTTTTAATTTTATAGTTAAAATTGAACTTTATTAATTTTATTGGGTATCTAAATTTTATTTTTAAACAAAAGCAAACGTTATCTATAATTTAAAATTCACCGTTGTCTAATTTTTTTGTTCTACTCGTTCTTTTGTCTTAACATTTATAATAATTTCATTCGAAACAGGGGTAAATTTTATTTTAAACAAATGCAACGTTATCTATAATTTAAAATTTACCGTTGTTTAATTTTTTTGTTCTACTCGTTCTTTTCTCTTAACATTTATAATAATTTCATTCGAAACACAGGTAAATTTAATTTTTTTTGTTTTAAGAAAAAAATCGAATGTGGGAAATAACTTACTTGTCTTTTAATTTGCCATATCGAGAATGGTTTCGTTTCTTCTTGAGCTCCGGCCTCTTCGTCGCCTTTCTTCTGCAAAGGCTCAATTTCAGGTATTGTCATCCTTAAATTTTCTTCCAAAGTACCCATTTTTCTTTGAAAATTGATGGTTGAATTCGACTGGAAGTCCCCAAGAGAAGAAAGATTGGTGGCTGTTGTACACGCTGAGATGCACGGGCTGTCTGTAGTTTGCAGCCTTTGGTGGTTGCCATTCTATAAACAAGAGTTTTTGATAAGTTATGACCTTAGGTCAAAGAAATGTAAACATTTGTAAGAGTTCATAGGTTCCCGGACTTGTACGTTACTCAAAAATTATGCGCCTCTACACAATAAAACAACAAAAAAACGGTCAACACGCCAAAAATCTAAAAGAAAGTTTGTTGAAATAGACCTGCATCAGGTTTTAATGAAAGTACTTTTCGATTTCTTACTTTGCTGTGATCTGTTGCATGGGGCATGACTTTTGAGTGCGGGTGTTAACTTTCTTCCGTCTAACTCGTGTACAGATTAGGTTCACTATTTACGTAAATCTCCCACTATTTTCCCCGATAAGCGTATTTGAAAAAAATAGGTTTGGATTTATCCAGTACTGGTCATTCTTTTACCGTGTGACAAGTATTTTGAAACTTAGGATGACGTTGTTGAAGCACATTTTATGTAACAAATTCTTAAACTGCGGGAAAGCAAAAACACTACTCGGTGCTTCAGAAATTGTCACGACGGACGCTGTTGAAAAAAAATTTTGATAGACTGCCAATATAGGTGTCATGTGGAGTGTGTCTTTGGTGGAAGGTTTATTATTTTAGGATCACTTGATTTTAGTTTCTGCCAAGTTGTTTTTTTTTGTGTATATCAGTAAGCTATTTTTTATTATCCATTAAACTGTGCATTGTTTCAGGAATTGCTACCGTACAGCTTACTCAATGTTGTAGTAAAAATATCGCAACGCTATTGTTTCATGAACATTTTCATCCTTTGAATGACTGTATTGTATTTGTTAAATTGGGGCTAGGTACCTACAGTTATTTAAATGCCCCATTTTAATTTTAATTTGATAATTAGATGATAAATATTAATAACAAATATCTCTAAACATATTTGGAACGCAATTGAAGAAAAAGTAAACAAATTACACTGCTGTATAAACAGTGGTACACTAAATTTATGAGACTTATTAAAGGTAAAAATTGTTTACTTTGTTGTAAGTGCGGTAATATTTAATATATCTAGATGGCAATATCAAACACACATAGGCGTGCGAGTATATCTTTCTGTTGCAAATAAAAGAATCCACCCAGCTGGTTAATAACTAACACAAAACATTAACAAATTCAAAATATGTCGATTAAAAAACAACTTGTGATTAGTACAGTCGTACCTGATCCGTAGTAGTCTCACTCATTGAATTCGTCAGTATCGAACAGTAATTAATTGACTAATGACCATTTTAAGCACCGGTGTATTCTTATAAAATCAACTTTACCGGCCAGGTACGATCGTGTTCGTTAAACGCCGGTTTTGAAAGGATACTTCCGGTTCGCCAGAGTATGTGTGACCTTGGGAACCGTTTTTAGAAAATATCGTTCCTCGTTCGTTGCAATTATTTTTTTTTTGTCACCATGCGAATTTCAAGGTGCCAGGCACTTATCAGTTACGCGGTTAGGGTAACCTAATCAAATTTATGAGGCCACGCCCGATTTTATTTCATATTAAAATAAAGTGTGTTAATTTCTTGGCGCTCGAGGTGGGGAAAAGCGGGTAGCTTTCCAATTGGCAAGATAGGAAGTCGAATTTATTATTATCGCGTTTTTAAATGATAGTTAATAAGTTTTTGTGTTTTCTTAAGATTATTATACTATTTTTATTTTTTATTTTTTTTTTGATAAATTTCGACCTGGGTTTAGTAAAAGTTTCTTAATGCGGTCCTGTGGTAACCTTGATGCCTGTATACACGTTCATCGAGCCATGGGGCGTATCTACCTATATTAGTTTTACCTTGGTCACCTATTTCGTTGTTATAACTACTCACCAAATGCATTTCATCGGTAATTATTTGGGGTACCGTCACTATTTTTAAAAGGGGGTAATAAAAGTCGAACGCTTCTTATCCTCGAGTAATAAACGATAATTTTTTCGCTATGCGCAGGCAGGTGTTAACATATTTTGTCGTTTGTGTACATTTCCAAACGAAATTTATTTATATCCACAGGAATAAATATGTATTATTACAATAAATTAAAATAAAAAACGCGCAGGGCCGTGCTTAGATATTTTTTAGAATTGATTTAAAGTTTGTTTAGTTGGATCCGTTTTTTTATTATTTGCAGCTGCTATAATGCGTTTGGAACAATGATTAATTAAATTGCTACGTAACATTCCAGAACACAAATGGATATTTGCATGTATGAGTGTTCCACTGATTCAGTCTTATTTAAGGTTGCATAAACATTCTTTTAAGTCGACATTTTCACAGCAAATAAATATTTTGAGTGAGAATTTTTTTTAAAGTATCTTTTTTTTTCAGTTTTCTCATCAAACCTGATTGCATCCGGACGTATTGACTAAATGTAAGTAAATAATTTGGTAGCGTATGAATCTTTTGGAATCTACAACAAAGTTACCATTACCAAAGACGTAAATAGTATGGTGTAAAACTGGGGGCAAGTCCGGTCCTGTCGCAGACAGATATTGCTAATTCTAATTAAACAACTTTTTATGGCTTAACATTTCGCGAATATTCATAGCGGAATAATTTCATTTTCTTATGTGTGGCTTATGCAAGTCGAGTATAGTACGTTGGGGTTTTGTCATTGGTGTAATGTCTTTATTGATTTTTTGGGGCGACAACTAGATTTTTTTATTATTGGTACTAACCTAACCGCACATATAGCGTGTCCGCTTCTCCATAAATATTTCCTCCAGAGACTACTACGTACTTACGTGGTTGCGTTTTAAAAATACTTCTCGCGTCGCGCGGACGTTTCTCCTGGCTTTTTAATTCGGTAAAAACGGTGAAAATTGGACCCGCGGATTGCCCGTACGATTGGGGAGAGCTGGTTCTGCGCATCCATGCCCGACAACCGGTGAATTCGAATCGACCGGTGGAATGAAAAGAGAATATTCTAGAATTCGTGCTGCGGCTCTTGCAACCCGACTACACGCAGGCTTTCGTTATTAAATAATGTTCAAATAAATCGCGGCGATTGCCACGCAGGAGGTATTGTTTCGTAAATTTATAGCGGCTGTAAGTACTGCGATTTTTTTTTGTTTCTAGTGAACCTTGCAGACGTTGGCAGTATTTGATATTGACACTAGGCGCGCGGTTTGCTCAAAATATTTAAAGTTATTTTTTTTACAGCACGACGGACCGTCGCGATAATTTCCGTATAATAAAAAATAAGAATTTATACATGAAAGAGACTTACCCATTTTTGTCGATTCCATTGGATAAAAATGTTAGCCCAAGCTGGTTGATTGGAAGCAACCCTGTAATAATTTCCACTATTAGAACCGGGCATAATCACAATTTTTTCATAAAATTATGTTGATCACTTCGATGATATATAAACAAAAATGTCTTTGACACCTCGTTGTTTATTTACTTTTTTGAATTATGACAGAGACGGCCGACTGGTTTAAAAAAACACCGACTGTTCAGATTCAGAGTGAGAAGTATACAATGAAGAGAGAATAACCATGTTACTCGTTATATAGTGTGATAGTAGTTAGGTATACCTGCGCGCGCGCCCTAACTAACATACATGGTGTATTACTTGAAAACACTAGTAAAATTGTCAATTTTTCCGTATCTGTATGACTTATAACCCTTCCTTAACCCTATGCAAAGTTAAAACGACAAGGCTCAACGAAATAACTATTTAACGCAACGTAAATCGGTTGTTTCTAGATTACGGTAATTGAACTTATTGGATATAAACTAATAATAATTGTCTTTGTTTAATTGATTTGTCCGTGAAACATGGAAGACTTGTTTTTCCTTTAACCGTTGTTTTTATATACCTACTACTACATACTAGTATGTAAAAAAACATTGTACCTATATTAAACATAAAAAATCCAACAGAAAAATTCTAATTTAGGAGATAAACGGGCAACAATGTTATTTTTATTAAAAAGAAAGGTTAATGCATCTTGCTCTTCATTTTAGCTTGTAATAACGTGCGTATACGCACGTTCCTCATCTGCTCAACGACATTGTTCGAAATAAAATTCTCACACGCCTTTTTTTGTCATGCTTTAAAGAAAAACGTATAATTTTTGACGGGCTGTACCTGCTCCAGAAGCTTAGGCATTTCAATAATACTGAAAACAATAATTTATCAAATTAACTACACGCAATTAAAAATGAATATACATCATATAGCTTACAGCAAGCACCGTTTTTGATTACTTATAATTGGGGGAGAAGATACATGAACTGAAGCCGTTCATTTTCTATGAAACGCGTTTTTTACTAATGTTTCGAATTCAATTCCTGTTAGAAAACTGGTGTTTAAGCGTGTACTACAAAATTCTGTGGCATAAATTGTTGAGGTCATATGGTTTGAGTGCAATGTATTTTGTACACTTGCACTGTGCACTTTACAAGACTCGGCCGTCTTGAAACCGCATGGTCCGAGAAGCGGTTGCATGGAATTTTCCATTGATCTACGGCTAAATAACCCGGTACTAAAATACATTTACAATCACCACGCCATGCCAGCCGTTGTCGTTTGAATTTTATCATCACAGGCGATAATTTAATGCATCGGATCGAACAATTACAACGACGGAATTTTTTTATGAAATTTCATTTACTTATCGATGTTGGTAAAATATTTATTATACAACGTAATTCTTCTGTAAGCAATAACTGAGGTATTTCCTGGTCGAGGCATCTAAAAACTCGGGCTAGACATGTATCGCAAAGTTTGTGGACATAACATTGAAATGTGTATGAGATCGAAATAACGGATTATATCTATAAATAGATGCAGTAAGCTTAAAACGGATTGCTCGGAAAAAGTTTCTCTCTGATGTTAAAGTAGACAAAATATTCACTGATATTTTACAAATGAAGATGAACAGATGCTACTCCAACAATTAAAGCATTTACAAATTTACATGCAACTTTCTCGATGCCATACATGTGTATGTAATAATAAAAATTTCCCATATTATTAAAAATTATTGTCCTAAAAGATTACTTTTTAAAGTCCAATATACTGTAATTGGTAGTATTATAGTTACTCATACCCTCGTTATGATAATTCTTATCTAGGTATATAGTTATACCCTTAGAAATTAATGATGTAAGTTGAAAATATGTAAAACAACGTTTAAGTTCTGATTTTAGTTTTAACAAATTTAATATTTAACGCGAAGACATTGATTTTAAAATGCATCCGTATATCCCTCGTGCAAAGTTTTAATGAAAATTTAATTTGGAAAAAATTCGTATTTAATATGAGGAGGCCAACCCCAGAATGCAGTATTTTTAAAATTCAAATGAAAAAACCAAACGACCTTATTTATGCTTTGTCTGTAAAGATATAATTTTAAATACGTTTTATTTTGGGGGAAATATTGGTACAATGTAAATTAAAATTATCGAAGCTTAGATGATCGATATTTGAAACAATTATGGCTGTTTGTTTTAAAATTTGTGGCGTACAGTTGTTGGGACATCTGATGCAATTTCTTGTTTTGATAAATAATTAAAAACGTCAGAGATATTGCGGAATGTCGGTGCCACACAACTAGAGGTGTGTAACTTGCCAGCCAATGGGAAAGTAGCTCGAGTCGAGCCTCTGCTAACGTCACGTAGCCTTGATGTTAAGTCTAATAGAGTCTATCACACCATGACAACAACAATTTGTTAGTATTGGATCCAATAAAACTTTTATTAAATATTTACGTCAAATAATTGCTGAGTCTGTACATAAAATGCCCTATTGGCACTCCTTGACCTTAGTTTAAAACAATTAATTCAAAGAACGCTCATGTCGAGTAATTGGTATTATCGGGTTCGAGCCTACGTGACGTCAGGACACACCTCCTTGGCAACGCGCTGCTTGACCGTTCTTACGGGTCTGTCTTAAAACCCATCAGGTTTTTTTCCTTTACTTCAGATGTAATAGACACTGATTTCCCAGAATATTTGTGGTCGATTATGACGCAACTATAATTAGTATTGAGTCATCAGATTGTCTGCCTATACATTTTTACAATTATTGTATTTTAGAATGTATTATTTTTCCGCTTCAGCTATTGCAGCCAAGTTGAAGAAAGTGTCTTTACTTTCACGTATTTGTTTTAAGTGCACTTGTACACTTTATTCCGCGTTACAACCTTTGCTCTGCTTTTAAAAAATTGTATGTAAAGTAAACAAATAGTGTTGTATAATTTGTTGGCAATAATAAATTCAGACCGGCTATTTTTAGCTTACCGTATGCTATGCATTATTAATACGAAGTTACATTGTTTTTTAGTAAAAAATGCCGTGACAGAAAATCGTTACAATTTAAACAACAGCTAAATAACCTGCTTTGATTTATGGATACTGGCTTCATAAAAAAAATTTCTTCCTGTGCCTTATTAATTATTATACAAAATTAATGACAAAGAATATAAATATGTGTTTTTGGGGACTATAGGTACCGAAAGAGCGGAATTTTCAAGTTGATAAACATTTCTGATGAGGATATTGACATCATAACAAGAAACTTTTTATAGGACAGCGGGATATTGCACATATCTGGAATTAGATAGACATAACAATACAATATTTAGAATCTTTGAAATATTGTCCGCAGTTTAGAATTACGGTTTATGAGGAGAACTCGACACTTACTTGACTGTGCCGTCAATATGTGGACGGTCCACTTTTTCCAAAAGACACACTGTTGAGTTTACATCCATTCAAACTGATATTATTATCTCTGATATCCCGAACAAATTTGTTTAACAACAGATTGATATTCTTTCACTGAACTGATATGGTACGGATATAGATATCGATTTGTGATACCAAATGCTTTAGGACGAATATATATGAAAGTACCTACCTTATCATATCTGCGATAAGATACTATCACGTGATAAAAAAACTTCCATTCCAGGTACCAAGTCTGTTTCCAGTGATTTTAGATTCCTATAATGTAAACTCCAGGGTTAATAAGTTCTTTTCATAAATATTTAATCGACAAATATTCGGACCTGAAAGAGATAACATAATCTCTTACATCATTTTGCCTTACCGTGTTGTATGTACGCAATTGCTGTAGTTTTATCGGATATGAATCCTGTTAAGGTTACTTGAATTTATTAAATAGTACATTTTTAAGTTATCTTTATATTATTACAAAAAAAAGAGGTAAGCAACTTCTACACCTTGAGACTTGTACTGGGTGTTCAGCATATTCACATCTGTATACAGGGTGTTAGAAGTTTGACTGCCTTAATTTTAACAAACGATAGAATACATTAAAATAAACAAAAAAAAAACCTTATATGACATGGGTCCTAAACGCAACCATTTCCGAGAAAAAAATGATCAAAATCTCAACTTGGTACAAAAGTTCGATTAATTAAGGAATATTGACATAACTGGCCACTTTTTTTTAACTTCAGCATTAATGCTTAATTATAAAAAATAATTAGCGTTATAATAAATTTAAAATTCGATAAAATTCATATCGAGCAATGTGACAACGGCGCGGCGGATATCGCGAGGTCCAACAACCGCAATTCAGTTGGTATCTGGAATTCGACCGTGTCGGAGTGTTTTTTGCGTACCACTATTTCCTTTTCTCGAGGTGATTTCCAGCGAGTGCGTGAAAATCGGATTCGAAGGTGTCGTGCGTGCTCGAAAATGGTGGTGGACATTTTGAGCATATGTTGTAGTTTGTTTTGTACTTGTGCGTTTGCTTTTTGGTAAGTACCTAAATTACTTTTAATACGTACTTTTCAAGTACGTAATTTGATTAAAAGTTAAGTTCCTGTTCTAAGAGATTCATAATTACTAAAATTCGAGCTAAAATTTAAGCACAACACTATATCTTCGTACTACAAAATCGATACATTTTATTTTATTTAGGTATTTCAAAACTGGAAAACAATTGTCTTGGAATTTATTAAATGTTTCACAACAACAGTTGTTTACATTTTTTCCGTAGGACAAGTCTGACGCGTGCACACGTGGTGCAATATTAATACTCGCTGTATTTTGAAAACTGTTAATCTTACGGCGCTGTAATGTACAACTTTTTTGCTCATTTATGATTACCCTATCTCGTGCTGAAGTAATGGCAGTCAAACTTCTTAACATCCTGTATATTTATCAAATAAATGCTTGACTACACGCATCCCAAAAACGTGTGAAAATTTGATACCTCACTCAATTGTTCTGTTTCTTTATATTTATCTTCTATTATGTCATAGTCCTTGGATGACATAAACATTTTTTTCTTCGTCCCTTTATAATCAGTATTTAATTAATAACTGTGTAGTTATTAATTAAGCAAAGCATGTGTAAAATATTCCATTGTTTTTTAATATGACAGATTCACCTCTAATTATTATTGTCTGTATGTGTATTCGTGACGGAAATTTACTCTTTCGTGCTTCTAGATTGATCTATAATTCAGTTTATCTTGAATCCGATTATGATAGACGTTAACCATTTT